AAAGGATGCAACCGAATCTGTAAATTAAGACAAGTATGCGAAAAACTTAAGTTTTCCAACCACCATTATTGCCTTGTTTACAACTATAAAATCGGAAGTAAAAATAACAATTAGGACAGCGTATACTAACTATTTGATTTTTGTTGTGAGTAGTATACAATATCACTTCTTTTTGAAATTATGTCAAGTCCAAGAGACATACATCTAGTTTTGTATTAAAGTCTTCTGTCAAGAACTACACGAATGTAAATGTTACTGTGGACAAGGTAGCTGAAACATTTGCAAATAGGTGTAATAAATTTAAGAATATTGTATTAGTAAAAGTATCATATACATTTGTCATTGATATCACTGTATTAAATAATGTATTACCTAATTATTTGTAGGGAGTAAATTAGTTAGTAGACTATCTATTAATCGATTTGCAAGGTACATTATGAATATTTCATAATGTAGCTTGTAAATCGATTAATGTATTTAAACCAGACGCTCGTCAAATAATGCAGTTCAAGGCGGAAATGTAGTGAGGGATACATCAGGATTAGAATGTGTGTTACAGAACAAGAAACTGATGACAATAGTTGGAATAACTAGTCAATGTCAACGCACTCGATAAAAGCGCGGGATTAAAAAAGGCGCGAATATGTGCAAGTACTACTGTATAACCAACGACAACACCTATGAAAAACCAGACATAAGCTATATTACAACCAGGCCTACGAAAAAGTCAAACTATGTAAATAATGAATCACTGAATATGATTAGACGAAATCACAGAGGTACAAACTATGTTAGATATTTACGTGGTAAAGGAGTGTAGTTTCCTGATAGGTCTAAACAACGTCATCAGTTACCAAATCAATTATTTTTACTAGTTTTAGTCATACAATTGTTCTCATTTAAACTTGCGCTATTATGCTAATTCAACCTAGGGCAGATGTAGTTCCCACAATATATCTATACTTACACGAGGAGAGCGTGGTTTCGGTGATTTTGTAAAGTAAGAAATAATAGATGTAGAAAGAAATGTGTAGATTTTGAACTTTTTTCTTTTTTCATTGATTTACTGTGTTGATTATGCACCACAGTGCTTTGTACTGTAATTATTTTCTGCCATTATGAAAAATTCATTGCCAATATTTCTTTCAAGGTCCCTTGCATTATTTTGCGTGTACTAATATGTACTAGGTGTACAATGCAGTTGTCTGCTTGCAATTTTGAGCGGAGCTATCATAGTACTGTAATCCAATACTTTTGCAAAGTCAATGCTAAATATAGTTCACGTAATTGAGATGTCTCCTACAAGTCCACTAAGTCAATTGTATAATTGTTTCTCATAAATGGGATGACTACTTGTAGTATCCAAAGTCAATGCTTTATCTGTTTCTCTTAAATGAAATCTCTACTTGCAGTATCTAAAGTTAATGATAAATCTATGCTAAAACTATTGCCTTGGGTGTAGTACGCCAGTGTCACGGTGATAACGGCGGGAGTGGTCGTGGTAGGCACGGATGAGTCGTTGTTCTTGCAAGGCTGTTTTTTGCCTGTCTTCTGGCTCAGTCAGCACTTACACCATCGGGAAGAGATAGTACATCCAAACTAACAAAAATAGGTTCCAAGGACCCATATTAGATTTAATACAATTGGCGGCAAACGTTATTGTTGATTAGTATGTTAAATAACAATAAAACTGTTGTAGGAGTTTGTTCCTAACCGTAGGTGCTCTGTATAATATTTAAATCGCTAAAATTATACCCCAACAATCAACGTTTACAATCGTGATACGTAAACAAATGATCCAATAATATGTAAGCCGAAGGATCGTCGTAAATTAATGTCTTTCGTGTAATACAACAATATGATAATAAACAATGTTACTATATCACTAATAACGTGTACGTAGACCGTCGTAATTAGGCTCAAATTAAAATATAATAATGCAATGTCAGTATTAAACAATCTTAATACTTGTGCGTAACAATATTGCTGTACTACAGAGAAACAAGGGTTTTCGAGTCGCTGTTGAATAATAGGACAACAAGAAATTTAATAATAATACGTTAATGAATACTATTACTATTAAACAGTTTCAATCCCAAATATTTTACGGGCAAGCAAGTCGGTTGTATTATGCAGAAATAAAGCCTATAGTAGAATTATGAACGAGGAAACTCAAATAGTAAACCGCACGAATACCGTTATCAAACAGCTGATTGGGCCCCTCTTATCTCTTGCCCATTCATCCAGAGTACAATTGACGAGCTTAAACAGTGTACAGTACATTTCTTTTTACGTACAGGTCTAGAAGGGTAGGTACAGGTCGACTAGCATTTACAATTCTCACCAAATATTTGGTAAACTGAATGATAACTGAAAGATAACTGAATGCTCTGACATGAAGCAGTGTTCTTCTTTACCTATAAAACAAGGTTGACACCTTTCTTCACTGATCACGTAATGCGTGATTTTCTATAAAGTCTTGGAAAAATAAAAGGAAAAATAGATAGACTACAGGTGTACTGTATGTGGTTTACACACAAATATTCATCAAACTGTGTGATAGTTTGTTATAGCAATGAACAGTTTGAGAGTACCTATCGTATTGTTTAAGTCGATGGAAAATCTCTGTTGATCCTGTTTTACAAGCAAACCAAAAAGATACAGTAGTCACCACTCTATGCGACATATTCTAGCCAGAATATTGTAATCGTATGATTCTATAAGCATTGGTAGGATTGCAAAGTACTACACAAACATTATTTCAAGGGTAATAACAGTCACAATTTCCGCTGACTTTAAAAGAGCCAACTAAACTATTATACTAATGGACACACAACTAAATGGAACAACTAATGGAAATTCTCACGATGTACATTCGTTCGATATAAGCATTGAGTATACACGTCAGTACATACGTGTATACCCAATGATATAAGCAACGGTTCTTGCAATTTATTGCTTATTGTTTTTTAGAGTTGTTTTCGGACTTACTCACACTCGTATAAGGTTTTCCACGTTTGTCATTGATAATGTAGCCATGTTGCTTTGAAATGGCGACCATACAAAATGTATGGTCAATGTATGGTAAATTCTTGATTCTTGATTCTTGATTCTTGATTCTTATGCATTTTAAGCCAAGTATGAATGGAGATGAGTGTGGGATGAGTGGAGCGATCTTGTTGTCCTGTTTGTGACTAAGGCCGACATAATCCTTAGACACAGCTGTTAATTAATAGTGCATACAGTCAATTAATAGCAGCAGAGGTCAAGTTTGGTATCAAATTAAAGGTTTTATTCATAAAAATACATTGCTGCAAACCCAAACTCAAACGAGGATGATGATAATAACGTTAATGATGTCGCTAAAACGTATCGTTTGAAATTTAACAGCTGAAAATAAGTTAAATAGAAAAGGTTTTGGTTAAATCCATCAAATTGTAATTGGACACTAGTAAATACTAGTGCACTTGTTGCTACCTCCCCCCTTCGGTTTCATGTATTCCTCTCAATCAGTTCAAACCTAGGAGGATTAAACATTAATGTTAATTAATGTTAAATCCTCCTAGATTCAAACCTGAAACACCCAGATCGAAACTCGCCTGTCGTTATTTTATCATCGCCTGTTTTTTAAATATATTTTTCAAAAAAGAAATATTATATTGATTTACTTTGGTTTTTAAAAATGTTAACGTTTTATTTTGTTAAAGATTTATGGTGATACGTAAATATTGTGGTGTAGTAGAGTATATTATATTGTAGTTAAGTGTTAAATTTTGAAATTTTAGGGTGAATCGAGATGAATCTTTGTTTATAACATGGGTCTCTCCTACCTTAACATACATACCAAGTTTGATAAACATCGGTTGGAAAAGTGCAAAGATAAATATTTGTATGTAAAAAATACAAAATGGCGGATATCTGGTTAACAAAATTATTTTGGAAAAAATGTTATCCTTGATCTGTTTATTTTGACCCAAGGAATTACTAGGTAAAGTATCTCCCCGCTTATTTTAACACCCTGTTTATGATGTATTCTTATAAGTGAAAAATGTTAGCTGGTAATAAAGAAAGATGTTTTATAAATAATATGAATGTACTGGTGATCTGTATATTCACCTTTTTCTTGTCCTTAGATAAATTAAATTAGATAAATTAAAAGTCCACTCAGCAGTCGCATCGTACGATGTAGTTCTTTCCATGCGTTGCGAAATGCTACATTTGCCGTCCTCTTCAACCCAAGTTATCTACTGAACCACTGATTGTAAAAAATTCAAAAAAATATATTTTACGCATTACACTTTTGGCTACAACTTTGCCACAGACAAAACCTCTCTAACCCAAAAACAAAAAAAAATCTCGCATGCTAACTTTTTCATGTTAGAAATCACGATTTAAAACTATTTCACCATACAAATCATTTTTTATTAATTAGATCGGTAAATAGTTTAAAGTTCCAACAAAATAGTCATCGAGTAGGACTAACCAAGAAGCTCTGTGCCAAATTTCAAAATTTTAGCACAACTTTAAGAACACCAAAACACGAAATTATTGAAGACATGCGTCGAGAGGACTATCGTTGTTTTTAACAGATTATACTTTTGACCTTCCGGCACTGTTGACTCAGCGAAACTGAACTTATATTTTATCTTATTTCGTTATATTAAAACTGCTGTTGCATTAAGTCAAATTCCCAATAAGTCAATTGCTTTAAAATAGACTAAACTTTTAGCCCGGACTGTACTATTTGACTTTCTGGGATTTTTGATCTACAGACACTGCAAACATTGTAGTTTTTGACCTAGCGGCACAGGTTTAAATTATTTGACCTTCCGGGACTGTTGACTTTCTGCAACGCGTCCATATTTTTCTACCGTTGAAGTTGGCAAGATGAAAACCTTAGACATTAACTATAAAATAGTCAGTGCATGCTTTAGGAAATTAAGTTATATTTCAGTCATATATGGTTGAGATACAGTCTTATGCTTAACTTTTCTTGACAGGAGGATGAGAGGAGGGAAATAGAAGAACGTTTACAGCAGGAGCGCCTAGACGAAGAGCTCGCAAAAAAAATAGCGCAAGAGGCGCCAAGCACCGGAGATACTGTAGATAAGGTAAGAAACAATTTAACCATTATTGAGATACTTTATTAAACAGAACACTCGTTTTAGAATAATTTGGCGGGGAAAAAAGGCTTGGAAGGACTTAGTGATGTGAAGTATTTTAATTATTGTGTATAGTGAAAATCTTTTTAGTGCATCAATCTAGGATAGACTTTACCGTTCAGATCAACCTGCTATCCTGTCATAAACCACTAAAAGTTAGGCTCCTGTGCACGTAGTTAGGCTCTGTAACTTGGCCTAACTACCCAAGTTAGTGTCATATATAGACTAAGACTAGTGAACGATGGTGAAGCAAATTTCATTCAATAAATTTGAAATCCAACAATAACAATACATGTATAGTTCGGCCGCTTAGAAAACGACCTCCTGTAGCATTGGTTTAGCATTAGCGAGCAGGTCGCTTTCTAAGCGGCCGAACTATAGTTTGATTATACTATTATAAATAATTTCACACGCTAAATGATCATTTGAGACCGGTAGGCCTAGTTTGACTACACAAGTGCAAACAAATATATTCCTATGGTAGCTAAACAGTAATACAAGAAGATGGATTAATTTTAGTCCTAGGTGCATTTTAAAAAGTGTGCTGCTAAACGTAAAAAAATATTCATAAAATCAATAGCCTACACTAATTTGATTGCTTGCTTCCTGTCTTTAAACTTTTGTTATATTTAATTTTTACGCCACAATTTTTAAAAACAAAAAGGTCAATTTATACCATCTTCGTTAAGTGCTAACATTTGTTCATGGAATAGATCTATCTCTTGTTATTACTAAAATTTAATAATCTTATACATTTTATTGTGATTGATAGCCCTATTTAAACAAAGAGTTTATGTAAAGAAGAAAATGTTATTGCAAAAATAATATGCAATAATGAGTTTCCATTCCATACACGTAACGATCGGCCGGCGAGAGCCGGAAGGCCAAACTGGCCTGTGAAAGAAGGGTCAACATACACACAACGATTCACCTGCCGGCCAATCTATATCTTCCCTGTATAGCAGCAAGGGTGCAGTCAGTTTATGTTTTGCGGCTGCTGTGTATAGTGCTGTAGTGTGATATGTCGTCTCAAATGGAGGAGGTGATGGCGGATGCTGCAAATTTAGCAGCACTGTAGAAAAGGAAAAGGAGGAAGAGAAGGGGGGTGTGGCATAAAGAGTGGCTTAACAGAACAGCACCAACCGATGTCAATTTATTGGATGAATTTAGATTGTCACTGCCACTGAACAATACAAAACACTCGACATATGGCACAACATGACTGAGCAGAAAATAAAGTTAGGTTATGTCAATGACCGTGCCTAACCTAACCTCAGAATTAACGTAAATCTTAAATAATTCTACTACTGTACTGTTGGCATTCCTGGGACCTTCCGGCGACCCTATACATGTACCGATCGGCCAGCCGACGTGGACTGTTCAGGCCGGGCCGGCCATCCGATTGTTACGTGTATTGGGGGCCTAACATCTAGGCTAATTTATTGCACTGACCAAACAAAGCTTCATGCCTATGTCAAAATTTGATGAAATCCGAGTAGTTTTTGTACTATTCTTTCATACTGTATACAGGGTTGGGCAAATGTGTGGATACCCCTAGTTAACTTTTAAACGCGTTGCAATAGGAAAACCAAACTTGGCACACATTTACAACATAAGAAATTGCACTTTTTCATTAAAGTTACAACTTTGCCCCAGCCCCCAAAATGGGGTATTTTGGGGGCAGCCCCAAATTTTCAAATGTAAACACCTATCATGTGACCCATCATTTTAAAGGGTTTATCAAAGGAAATTGAATGGCGCAAACCAGAGGTCAATATCCCACGCCTAATCAAAATGGCAGCCATTTTAATTATTTAAGATGAGCAATCATGATAAAGTCTAGACACCCCCAGTTAACTTTAAAAATTTAATATTTTAATACTGACCAAAAGGTGAATTCTCTTTTTTCATAAAGGTATGCTGAGTTCAGTTTTCCTGCTATAAACTGTTAAAAAATAATAGGGGATATTCCAAAATGACTGCCATTTTGATTAGGGGTGCGATATTGACCTCTAGTTTGCGCCATTTAATTTGTCTTGAGAAACCATTTAAAATGAGGGGTCACATGATAGGTGTTTACTTTTAAAAATTTGGGGCTGCCCCCAAAATACCCCATTTTGGGGGCCGGGTACAAGTTCTAACTTAAATTAAAAAGTGCATTTTTTTATGTTGTAAACATGTGCCAAGTTTGGTTTTCCCACTGCCACACGTTATAAAGTTAACTGGGGGTGTCCAGACTTTATCATGATTGCTCATGTTAAATTAAAATGGCTGCCATTTTGATTAGGCGTGCGATATTGACCTCTGGTTTGCGCCATTCAATTTCTCTTAAAAAACCCTTTAAAATGAGGGGTCACATGATAGGTGTTTACATTTGAAAATTTGGGGCTGCCCCCAAAATACCCCATTTGGGGGCTGGGGCAAAGTTGTAACTTTGATGAAAAAGTGCAATTTCTTATGTTGTAAATATGTGTCGAGTTAGGTTTTCCTATTGCAACGCGTTAAAAAGTTAACTAGGGGTATCCACACATTTGCCCAACCCTGTATTATAATTGCTTTGTTGAATAGCTATTTTTAGTGTAATAAAATTAAAATTGTTGAGAGAAGTAACACTTTAGGTTGATTTTTCTTACAAGATTTTAGGCTTGTTATATTTCACCAGGAAAGAGCGAGCGTCCAAAAAACTCCAGGACGAAAGACTCGGGGAAGACAAAAGGTAGATTTTATAAGATCGCATTAAGTAGTGGTGGGTGAAAATGGGCTTTTGGTTTCCATTCGACTAAACTTTGCATCCTGTTCCTGAGTTTTATGTTTATTCATGTCACTCTTAGAATTGCCTCTTTATTACTCATACACATTTGGGGTGTTGGAAAAATGCTGTCAGGTACATAGGGCCACCAATTACTGCGATGGGGAAAGTATTTTTCACTAAACCATCCAAAATATGCCAAAACATTGTTGATGTGTGTAATGTGATGTGAAACTAATGCAAACTAACTACAGCCTTAACCATTTGAGGTAGATTTTTTTATACTTTTTTGGCGAGTGGTGGTCGGCAACCTATACTCGCCATTGAAGGGTTAAAAATCTGCGATTCAAGGCCTAATTAAAATGAAATTGAATTAGTGATGTGACGAGTGGAGTATTTAGTCTACCCTAGAAAAATGTATTTCATTGTCCTGCCACTTGGAGAACCTTGATTCTGACTCATAGTAGCAATTCAGAGATCTATTCTTACTTAAGTTCTTAGTACTTAGCATTCATTGCTTTGCTACTGACTCATAATGGCAACTCAGAGATCTATTCTTACTTGAGTTCTTAGTACTTGGTATTCATCGCTGCTGACTCATTGGCGACTCGGAGATCTATTTTTACTTGAGCTCTTAGTACTTGGCATTAATCGCTGCTGACTCATATTGGCATCTCTGAGATCTATTCTTACTTGAGTTCTTAGTACTTGGCATTCATCGCTGCTGACTCATAGTGGCAACTCTGAGATCTATTCTTACTTGAGTTCTTAGTACTTGGCATTCATCGCTGCTGACTCATAGTGGCAACTCTGAGATTGACATTCATTGCTGTTGACTCATACTAGGTATTTTGAAAATCATAGCTACTGAAAAATTGGCATACCTAAGTATTCATCAAACACATGCTCGCAACTGCAGCGTAAAGGAGGACAAATTTATCAACCAATAGAGTCCAGAACTCAACATGCTAATTACCCCATTTGACTTAAAACTTTTCAAGTAGAGTTCTCATCACATTACTAAACTGAATATGATCATGACTTTTGGATTCTGCCTCCAAAAGCAAAGAAGAAGGAAAGACAGAAGTCACTACTAAACAGTTCTAAATCTTGTTATACCTATTGTGGTTTAATTTACCTTGTTACTGACGAAACGATCCTTTGTATTTTGTTAGAAGTACTACAGCTGTTTCATGCTTCGAACGGAGCACATCATCAGGTAGAAAGAATGTCAAGTAGTCTTCATTAAATATTCCTCGTTGTGGAGTTTGCCAAAATTTAATAAATAAGTAACAAAACATAACTAAAAAAAACCAAACAAAACATTTAGCGCTGGTCGACCAGATGGTAACAAAAGAGGTGGTATGGCCCCGGCTTAGGGTGAGTTGCGACTGTAATAATTTTTGTTATTTTTTATTTTGTATTATATTTTTGATGCCACTGGTAGCTAAAGTTGAAATATTCATCCACTTCACAAATTCAAATCTATATCTGGCCATTTAGTGCAAAACAAATTCAAATAGGCTATGACCGTCTAACTAACACAACTTAGTAGACTTCTCATCCCATTGTAAAAACTGAAGCTTGTTTATCATGTGTGGTTCGTGTTGGCAAGTGTCAGGAATTTTTTGCATTTTTTTAGGATTAATCGTTTGGTGTGCTTTACTTTTTGTTTGGTTATAAAACCACTGGATGAACTATTGATTTTAAAATAACTGCAATAACACCAAACAAATTGTTAACAACAATTAAATAAATCCTATTAAGATTTCACCACATTAATTTCATACAAATTTGACTACTGACGAACATAATGGAAAACTGACAACCGAAAAATCAAAAACCAAGTGATAAAAGTTGCAACCAACACATCACTATTTGATCATTTCAATGGTAACATTTAGTAAACAATAGCATATTTTACGTATCCTCCAACTGTTATAGTAAGAAAAACTTTAATAGAAAACCAAACTGTATTTGTAGTCGCCTACTACTTTATTAGTATTATTACTTTTTTATAAGTGGCTCACTCTGTGGGAGAATCAATCAACTATGTTTTTGCATAAATACTAGCAACAGCTGGTTTACAGGATGTCTACCTGAGTAACTAAAGTCAATTGTTTGGTGCAATTGGTTTTGTAATTGTTTTGTATGAACATTTTAGCGGGTGATTCAGTGAACTTGGGACACATCAGTTTAAGAGGAGAACGTAAGAAACACTGTTGCATTTGGTGTGTACATAACCTCAAAATTAATGCTTAGTTACTTTTTATATAAAAATCCGTTTCAGATACTCCTGGACGATGCGTCATCTCCCTCAGGGTCTTGTACTCCCCAGAAATCCTTCAGTCTAGAAAAATGCCTTAATACTCCATCCACTTCCAAGGACGGTAGCTTGCCTTGTTTGGGTGCAACTCCGTCAACTTCCAAGGACAATATATTTTCAATGTTTCGTAAGTGTTTTCATTGACTATAGACACTGCTCCCTAGACTTTGCATTATATTTTAATTATTACGCCTATAAATAAATTATTATAGCACCAATGGTATTTAAAACGCTCCAAACAGCAAAAAAAAGTAAAGAATGTTTTTAGCCTAATATGAATTATTATTGTAGACCAGTGATATTAATTTATTCACAATAGCAGACAAGTTCATTCGGCCTACATTCTGGTAGAAATCACAGTACAGTAAACCCTTAACCTACCTCGCGTTAACCGATAACCGGATTATCCGCCCTCGCTCGTTAAATATAAAAGTTTGTTTTAACCAACCTTGTTTTGAGATTTGTTTGTTCGGTTTAACTGTCATTTTCTAGGAATCTCGACATTTCCACTCCCACACTCGGATATAGGAACAATACGCTAAACTCTACAGGATGTAGTAACCTGCGACATCCTGCTACAAGAGAAAATATAATCCACCAAAATAACTATAAGAATAAGTTATTTTGTATTCATCCTAAAAAAATATTACATATTGCAATTTGTATCATCGTTTGTAGAGCGAGCACATCTGATTTGTCATCTTTGCGGCAGTTCTGTACTGTATTACAATGGATTTAGAAACCATAAATTAATATTATTAAAGGTATTAAAATAAGAATTTATTATGACTGTTACCTACAACTATAATTTATTTGACAGTTAACACAAAACAACAGGTTAAGTCATAGTATCAAAATTCAAAAGACTGTGAAGCGCCTCACCAGCTGATTGTAGTTATAGTATATTTGAGTGTTGCCAACTTATTTCTAAATGTATACGTATTACGTGCCTAATAAAAGCTCAAGTATTTAGAGTTGTTTGGTCGGAATACTGGAATAAGGCAAAAAATGAGTACGGCAAAAGTAAGTAAACGCAGCAATTAGCTATTTTGTGTGCTATAATCAGTGCAAGGAAGCCTGCTTTGGCAGGTAACTGTAGGAAAAATAAATTCTGTCACTATCGTGTAGGCCTAAGTGTTTGTCTGATTGTTTAATACTGTAGGTTGTTTTCAAACGTTCAATTTTTTTTTATTCATTGTTCAAGGGACTTCAACACCTCCATCAAAACGTTCTAGTCATACATCATCGCTTCACCAAGAACCCTCTACTTCAACAGGTAATTTAAATATGTCACACAAAAATCATAAAAAATAAATGTATTACCTGGTACAAAAGTAGTAGAAAATGTATGTTCTAGTAATACTGTGTTGCAGGGGATTGTATCTAAAACAAAAGAACAATATTTCCTTTTATTAAGCTTGGCCAAATTTTTAATTACCGAAATATAAACTTAAACAACTTATATTTTAGCCAAATGATGCAATATTTATTCTGTTTTAACAGTTGAATATTTATTACTTCAACTTTATTTTTCAGATTCTAAAACTTCTATTTCCAACCAAGCGTTGAGCCATTTTGCTCCTGTTCTGCCTGGGCCTTCAAATGGTAAACATATTTTCAATCAATCTTCATTATCATTATTTTTTCAGAAAGCAGCAAGTATGTCAATGTAGCTTTGTTACTGACTAATGTAGGCTGACTTTTAGTCAGACTCATTTTTCAACTAAAAGCTACTGAATTTTCATATGATTAAACTAATTACCTTCTGCCTATTTGGGGAGCAATAACCTCTATACTAGCTAGCATGAAGCTATAAATAAACATTATTAAAGTTCCATTATTATCATGAGACCTCTTGTTATATTGAGACAAAAAAGATTCTATAGTTCGGCCGTTTAGAAAACGACCTGCGCGCTAATGCTAAACCAATGCTGGAGGAGGTCGCTTTCTAAGCGGCCGAACTATACTTAGATTTCTTGACTGATTAACTGAAAACTAAGAAAACGACGTAATCTAAACATTGCCAAATCTATTCCACTGAATGCACCCTTTTTCCATAAATATCTGCCTGTGTAATTCTCCTACTGACAACAAGACTCCTTTAATCTCACCCTACAGTAGAACCTCTTTAATCCGAACCCCTGTAATCCGAACGTCCACTAATCCGAACTCCTCATTGCTGTTCTCTATACACAGTACAGCAGTTCTTTATTGTATACTGTATTTAATTTACAGTACTGTTTATTCACCATGTTTACTACTGTATTAAATAAACATTATATTTTACTTTATAAAACATTTTTTCACTTTTCCCAAATTAATGTTGATCAATTTTAGCCATGTTTTAGCTATTGTTATGTAAAAACAACAATATGTTCTGTAATCTGAACTATTCAATAGTCCGAACTACCCCTGGTCCCAATTAGTTCGGATTAAAGAGGTTCTACTGTATCTCCATATTCTTAAAAGGACGAACTGTGGATATTTGTTGGCAGGCACTGTGGATACTCCCTGGTGTGGATTAACGTCCGCGTTTTTGAGTACTAGCATTTAGCAGTACTGTCCTGATAATTAGACTAATTCATTAATTACAAGGCAAAAATGTTGTTCGGATTCTACTATAAACTGTAGTTCCCTTAGTTTCCAAAAATTTTAACTCATACATTAGTTTTTATTGGCTGTATGAGCTATTAATTAACAGCTGTTTCTAAGGAACATGTCGGCCTTAGTCACTAACAAGACTACAAGATCATGCCACTCATCCTACACTCATGTGTAAATAAATATTTAAATATTGACAATGCATGATATTTGTTGCATGTTATTGTATACAAATCTAATATGCAAATAAACAATTTGATTTGATTTGACTCATCTCCATTCATACTTGGTTTAAAATATCTACCTTTGTATCGTCCCCATTTCAGATTAAAATATTAAAGTTTTTAATTTACCACTTTACTTAAATCTGACAAAATATAGATATTAACATTAACAAAAATTTAATTAAATACAATTAATTACAATCAATAGAGTATTGAGGGACAAAACGTGTATGTATTCTGTAGCTTATTTGTTACATCTAGTGCATGACTTGTTCTTTGTAGATGCAAGAGATAAGAAGATGAAAGAAATGCCATCCACGTCCAGATGTTCCAGTGGAAGTGATAGTATCGGACAAGAACTGAACCACTTCAAACCAATCCGTACTTCTCCAACAACACCACCCAAGGGTAAACATTGACTTTGGTTTTTTATCAAATCATCTGTAATTGGTTTTGTTTTCTTTATTTTTGTTATTTTCAATGATGGTGAAATTCTTTTGGTGTATGTCATCTAAAGCCTTTGACAGTATATCCCATTGAAAAATTGTTGAAAAATAAAGTAGTATAGGCATCAAAAACTCATATTTAAATTGGTTTGAAAGTTACCTTCAAAATTGAAGTCAATATGTAGAAAAAAAACTGAAGGAAATCAAGTTATAAAATATCAATCAATTTTACAACCAATCAAACACGGGGTACCACAAGGTATACTTGATATACCTTTATTATTTATTATTTACATCAGGGATATGCCATACTATTTAAGTAAACTTTAGGACATAAAAAATCAACTTATACTATATACAGACATTGACTAATACACAGCATTCTGTGTATAGTCAATGATACAGATGACTCTTATCTTATTATGTCTGCAAAGACTGGCTTGGAAATGGAAATAAATTCATTCATAGAATTAAGTAAACTTCATTGATTTTTTCTTCCAACAGTCTAATATTAAACTCACAGAAGACTAATTACATTCATTTCACTACAAAACAAAACCGAAACAATAATGATTGTAACATTTTTATTGATAATAATAGAATAGAAAAGGCAGATGAATCCAAATTTTTGGGAGTATATTGATAACCATCCTAGTTAGGTTAGGACCTGCATATAGAACATCTTTTAGCAATAATAAACTCAGAAATGTATGCCTTTAAAAAGGATTGTACAGTAGACTCCCTCTTATCCGGACACCTTTCAACCGGACATCGGTTTAACCAGACATCGGTTTAACCGGACTACACTCGGCGGAAAGGACATCTCTTTAACCGGACAATTTTTACCAGCACATTGGTTTTACCGGACTAGATCAGCAGGAAGTGGGCAGTACTGAAACGACTGTTCTCGTGGGACTGATTTGAGACCAGTGATCACGTGTCTAAATACAATACTCTCCTAAATTTAAGTCGAATATCACAGTAAACAGTCTGTTTTAATGAGTTTTTGGGGACGTCGGTTTAACCGTAAAACCCGTTATCCGGACTGGCCTCGGTCGGAGTCCGGATAAGAGGGAGTCTGTGTTATTATCTTTGTAATTCAAAAGTTCAAAAAAATGTTTTTCATTCCCTCGTGCAATCCCATATATCTTATGGGTGGATGGTTGTCCAAACAAAACCTTTGTGAAATTTTAATTAGTCAAAAAAGAGCTACAAGAGCCATGTTAAATCTCGAGTTTGAGGAATCTGTAAAGGAGCATTTTATTTACCAAAATATATTAACAGTCTATAGTTTGTATATCCTTGATGTATGTCAGAGTAAATAAAGCCAATCTTACAACACATGAAGATATACATAACTACAACACCATAAATTAAATAAAAACATAGTCTTACCTTTTCACAATTCTGAGCTATTTAAAAAGAAACCATCCTATGCCGGTTCTGTATTTTTAAAACATATTCCAAAAGAAATACAGTATTGAATATAGAAAATCTAAACAAGTTCAAAAGTGAACTCAAAAGTTTTTTAATCAGAAATGCATATTACTCTTTTGAAGAGTTGTACGATTTAACTTATGTGAATGCTGATGCTACATAACTGTCAATACAAATCCTGAAAAATTCAATGCAATTTACTGAGTTAGATTAAGGAGCTGTGACGCTATTTATTGTATAGCTGTACATGAAACAAATAAAGAAGTTTTGAGTTTGAATTGTACTTAACAAATTTAAGGGGAAGCGGTCAAAACTCCTAACAGGATATCTTGGCGATTGAACATGTCTTATCACACTAAAGATCAAGAAGCTAACCACTATTTATTTATTATAGCCTAGCTAATTACTACAATATAAGTTTTTTTTACCATTTTCACCAAGCACGGAATTGGTCCATTCGGCGAAAAAACAATTCAAAAATTTAAGTTTGGTAATATCTGTACACAATCCTAGATAACATTTGTTTGGATTTCATTTTTGTTTTAGCCGGCAGCAGGAGACTTTGGCCCCGAGTGGTAATCCCAAAACTGGGCACCGAGTCAAAAATCAACATTTTGCCATTGTCACATCTGGACATATTAGCTGCTAATGTTTCCTTGGATGAATTGTAAGTAATTTCTTGGTTGTATTTAGTTGTTATGGATTCTAATCTTGTTAGCGAATTTCCCTATAGGGAAGTAGCTATTACCGTAGGTGGCACGGTAAGACCTAGACCCGGGACCAATTTACTTTTTCATTTTGATGTCCCCAGAGGCCAAAAACACCATTCGTTCAAATTTTTATATATGTATATATATATATATATATATATATAGATTTATATATATATATATATATACGTCCGTGAACGCGATAACTTGAGTAATTTTTGTCCGATTTTGATGAAATTTGGTTTAAAGGTGTAAAGCGGGATAAACTTGAACAGGGTGTCCACATTCTGGAAAGTCAGGGAAAGTCAGGGAAAGTCAGGGAAAAAAATTTTGGTCATGGAAAGTCAGGGAAATGGGTAAAAAGTCATGGAAAGTCATGGAAATCCCCAATGATGGATTTGAGGGGACTCTTCAATGCTCTAGTCGGCCGTAACCCCGACTATTGTAGCATTTTTCAGGATTTTTCACAAATGTACGACAATTCAATTTATTGTCTTACATTTGTGCTTGGATTATTTTAAATTATTAATATTTTTCTTGTTTGTTCTAGGATGTTGATTAGTTGCTAGATGCTAAGTGTAACAATGACTGCTAAACAGTGCAAATTTAATAAACTGTGGCTCGATGCCAAACTATATCCGGAATTTAGTGGTTGGTTAGATTTGGTGGTTGCTGATGCCACTTCGGCTTATTGTAAAGTGTGTCGCAAGTCATTCAAGCTCAGTAACATGGGTAAAAATGCGGTTGTTTCTCATTCTAAAGGACCTAATCACTTAAAATACATGCAGGCCAAAAATTCCCAGCCAACAATCTCCTTTTTCACTAAGAAAAAAGTGTCAGAACCTACATCAGCAGAAGATGTACATCCTGTACCGAGTACTTCAACTACACCAGATGTAAGAACTTCAAAGCAAGAAACTTCTCAAACAAGTTTAAAGACTTTCAGTGTCAATGAAGATGATGTAACATCTGCGGAAGCAATTTGGGCTCTTGAAGTTGTCACTGGAAAAATGTCTCTTAACTCCTGTGATGATACTTCGGCTGCTTTCAAAAGGATGTTTCCAGATAGCAAAATTGCTCAGAGTTTTAGTATGGGAAAAACTAAGGCTTCTTATTTAATAAACCATGGACTGGCACCATATTTTCAGGAACTGTTACAAAAGGAAATTAAAGAGTGTTCTGACTATGTAGTGTCTTTTGACGAATCCCTAAACAAAGTTGTTCAGAGAGGTCAAATGGACCTTTGTGTTAGATTTTGGGATGTCAACCTTCAAAGAGTGTCTACAAGATATTGGAACAGTGTATTTCTTGGTAGGGCATCAGCTAACCATTTACTAGACGCATTTATTGATGGATTAGCCTTGCCGTTGCAAAATATCTTGCAAGTGAGTATGGACGGACCAAACGTTAACCTCAGTTTTTTAAAGAAACTAGAAAGCCACTTGCAAGTCTTGAATCCGGACGGAAAATCCATTTTAGACATCGGTATATGCAGCCTTCATACAGTGAATGGAGCTATTAAAACGGGAGTTAACAAATGTGAGTGGAATCTTTTTCAGTTTTTTCGATCTCTTTATAATTTTTTCAAAGGTAGCCCTGCTCGACGTGCCAAATATACTGAAATAACTTCCAGCAAATCATTCCCTTTCAAGTTTACTTCAGTAAGGTGGTTAGAAAATGGGCCTTGTGTGGACCAAACTATCAAAATTTTTGATCATGTTAGCCAATTTATTCAAGAATACACTGAAGAAAAGGAAAATAAAAACTTGCAGTACCTAAGGGAAACCATGAAAGACCCTTTTCTTAAGGCAAAACTTTGTGCTTTCAGGAGCATCTTATCAGATATTGAACCATTCTTAAGAAGGTTCCAAAGTCAGAAGCCTATGGTTCCGTATCTGTTTTCATCAATTGAGGAATTGGTAAGAAAAGAAATGATGAGATTTGTTAAGCCAGAGAAGTTAAGGGAAGCAAGTACGTCTCAAAAATTAATAAATCTAGATTTGCACCTATTTGAAAATTTGGTCCCAGTAGAGAAAATAAGTGTTGGGTATGCAGCAAAAACCATCTTAAGACAACTTAAAAGCTCAGAGAAAGATAAATTAGCATTTAGAAAAGATTTTAGGACTCTGCTGATAACTATGATCAATAAACTTAAAGAGAAAAGTCCTTTGAAATGTCATTTGGCTCGAGGGCTAACTGCATTAGACCCTAAAACAATATTGCTCAAACCTGATCTGGCAATAACACGGATTGACACAGTGTTAGAAAACATGTATAGCCGTAAAAGAATTCCCGATCAAGTTGCTGATAAAGCTAAACTTCAGTTTTCTTCTTTGATTGAAGAAGTTCAGAAAAATGAAAATCTTAAACACAAATTTGATAACTTTATTTTAGAAAAGACTGATGAGGTTGGACTTGATGAATTTTATTATTCACTTTTAGGTGAAGACAAGAAGTATGTTGAACTGTGGTCAGTGATGAAACTGTGTCTAATTTTGTCTCATGGAAACGCTTTTGTTGAATCTGGCTTTTCGATTAACAAAAATTTACTGGTAGAAAACCTTCTAGAAGAATCACTTGTTTCACAAAGAATAATTATTGATAGTGTAAAACATCTTGGTGGTGTGAAAAATATAACAATTAACAGAAGTATGCTTACTTCAGTAAGGTCTTCAAGAAGAAGATACCAGTTATATCTAGATAAGAAAAAAGAAAAGACAAGTGAAGAAGAAAAAGAGAAAATAGAGAAAAGAAAGATTCAATTGGAGCTAAAGGAACTAGAAGAAAGTAGGAAAAAGTTGAAAATAGAAAGAGAAAAGGAAGATGCTGAGATTGAGAAAAAGAAACAAATGTTGGAGGCTATGAAAAAACAACATTAAAGATTTGTCAAAAGAGGTTCTTAAAATAGATTGTTAAGATAAGAATACTCTAATTATATTTTTTACATAATCATGTAAGAATCATATGATTTGTCAGTAAAGGTTATTAAAATATATTGTTAAGATGACAATACTCTAATTAGATTTACCTAATCTTGTAAGAATTATTTGATTTGTCAACGGAGGTTCTTAAAATATATTGTTAAGATAACAATACTATAATTATATTTACATAATCTTGTAAGAATTATTTGATTTGTCAATGGAGGTTCTTAAAATATATTGTTAAGATAACAATACTATAATTATATTTACATAATCTTGTAAGAATCATTTGATTTGTCAATAACGGTTCTTAAAATATATTGTTAAGATGACAATACTCTAATTAGATTTACATAATTTTGGAAGATTCATTTTATTTTGGTTTTAATTAGTATTATATCTGTTGTGGTTGTGTACAGTTTTTTCACTTAAATAACAATAATAAATATTTATTAGAACAGAACTCAAATGTCAATACAAATACAAATATTGTTATAATGTGTTGAGTTGTCGTAAGTTAAGTATTTTCTAAGCTAAGCTAATTTTGTAAACCCTGTAAACTCAATAAAAAAATAAAAATAAAAAGTATATAGGAAGGAAAAAAGAAAGTGGAGAGAGAACTTGGCCAGCTATGGGGACGGAGGAGGCTGGGTTTTCTTTTTTCCTTCCTTATTTTGAATATCATATTTTTGCAAAATTTATTACAACATTGTTATAATTTAATACATATTTCAGTATTTTCTGTGAAATAATTTGTCCAGGCAGCATTATTTATGTGTGTATGTTATATTATAATTTCCGAGTAAAGTTCGTGAGTCATGGAAATCAATGGTAAATGGTCATGGAAAGTCAGGGAAAGTCAGGGAAATTAATGACAAATTTTCTGTGGACACCCTGTTGAATGAGTTCGCGAACCAGCATGATCGGACCATGGGAACGGGGCTTTACGGGGGGTTTTATGGGGTAAAATTTTGTTTTTCTCACTTTTGACCCTCAAAACACAAAATTTCCCAATTTCTCTTTAGACCTTTTTAAAGAGCTTAAAAAAACAAATAATTTAGTATATAAAAGTATTTTTGTTCGGTTATTAGTAACGGAGAAAATTAAAAAAATTGTAAATTTAAAATTCCCATGTTATTCTTATGGAGAATACAGTATTGTCAAATGTTGTTGCTTAATTATGGATATATTTTGATCAAACTTGGCAAATTTATTTATTTTGTACTAAGCTATCAATATTTTACTCAAAAACACACTTTATTAGTTTCCTTGTAGCAGCAAACCTAGGTACTCGTTAAACCTAATGTTATTAAAATATATTTAACTGAAAATCAATTCAGACAAATGGAAATTCGCTTAGTCGGCAGGTTTGCTGCGGCGGGGGTATTTTTTACCCTCTTTGTTTCAAGTTCTTTGTTGGTGGTGGTAAGTTGATGTTATGTAACTATGGCCACAGACCTAGGAAATAAGACATATTAAATTCTCTGTCTTAAAGAGAAGAAAGATGTGTTTTAATATGGAATAAGGTTTATTTTGAGGAAAAAACTGACTTTGGGAGGTTAACGTTGATAATAGAATGAGAGAAGTGATTCTAGGAGAAGTTTGTTTTCAAAAGGAGGAAAATATTTAGGGGGAAAGGATTTTTCTAGGAGAATGACTGTAGGAAGAGCAGGTAGATTTTAGGAAAGAAGTGTGTTTTTTTGGGAGGTGAGGAATGTCTTGGCTTTTCTACCAGTACTGAGTCGGATAGAATTTATATTTTCTCATAATTTTAAACACTCTTAACTTGACTCACCTTGTATTGCTACTGCAACAACATCAATTACTTTTTTGTTACTTTCAGAGAAACCTCGATAAATCTAGAGAAGCAACTAGAAGAGGACCGAGAATTTGCAAAGAAAATTCAGAAACAGTTTGACCAAGAAATGAAGATGTCTGTTAAAACTGACTATAATCTTCGGAAAAGGAAGAGGCCGTCGGGAAACGCGAAGAAAAAGGTTTCTCTTGATAGAAGCCAAACCACTCTTGACAATCTTTTGATAAAGTGATCAAATCATCCTAGCATGATGATATCTCGTCATGATGCTGTCTTGTCATGGAGTTACCAAATTAGTTTTTTTACGTAAGACTGAAAAATTTTTTTTATTTATAAAGTGATTTTTTTTTTGTATGACTATGATGTGATTCAATCTACCAATTCTCCTCCTCAATATTTAATTCTACATGCCATATATCAACTGTAAAATTGTACTTAGTTGAAATTCTCTAAATTAATTTAAAATTGTTCCTGTTGTTATTGTTAATTTAAAATGCTTAGGGAATACAGTTTTCACTGAATAGTCTGACACTCTCCGAATTTGTCTTCTTTGAGGCAAACAAAAGTTAACTTTGTTTATTTTAGTTTTCATTTTGGTAATCCATTGCTAAGTTTACTATTTTGTTTGCAACCCTTCCGGTTCGTAAGTGTCAGATGTTTAGACTCAACTGTATAGCACTGCTTTGTACAATGTTGTACTGTATACGTTATTGATTTAACACACACATTTACAAGATTACTTCAGTTGTTTCCTATTGTTTTAATAGTAATATATTTTTATTTTACTCTTTATTATTGGTGTGTTGATTTGTAATATTTGTTAAAGCTATTATTTTTGTTCATTTTTATAGCAGTAAAATAGTTAAGATCAACGATATTTATTTTATTTTTGTCAATAATAAAACATTGCTGCTTTGTGATAAACCAGTGAAGCATTCTGGGTCGTAAAGATCCAGTTTACCAATCATAAAGTTTACAGTCCCCTTCCCAACCAAAAATCCTAACCCTACAATAGTGTCACAAGGAAATCGAATATAGTCGTGAATGGTCTGCAGTGAAGCCGAGTGTAGGGCCACTGGTCGTAAATTCAGGAGCCATATTAATTTATATAATCTAACCTAACCAAACTTCTATATGCTGATTAAGGCCAGAGGTGGCCGGTTCTCCGTTTCCTAGTAAAGCCAACAAGTTAGGCCTGGTTAAACTTAATTTAATAAGCAAATAGGACAGCCATAACACATGTTAAGAGGGTCTGACTTACGGGTGGTATAAATGAGGCATATTAGTTAAAAATTTCCATGTGAAAAAAAGCGCTGTAGTAGAGAGCACTTGGCTATAATGAAGGTTTACTAATCGAAAAATAGTTCTGTTCATAAAATAAAACTATAAATTTCTCAAATTCAATTTTATGATTTTTTTTATTATAAAATTAAACTGTCATAACCTAACCAAACTTGCTGATAATGAAAAAATCGAATTAAGATTTACTGATAAAAAAAATAGTTCTGTTCATAAAATAAAACTAGAAATGGCTCAAATTCAATTTGATAATGTTTTAATTATAAATTAAACTGTCATAACCTAACCAAACTTGTTGATAATGAAAAAATATTGGACAAAAAGTTAGTGCTACCGGTGGGATTTGAACCTGGGACCTTCAGCTTATCAGCCCGGCACGCTATCCATTGGACCACTGAGAGGCCGTCCCTCAGCTAATCAGAAGCCCACAGCTGACATCATAGGCTCATCTATACCTCCCTTGAGTAAACACCATGTTAAGAAGATTTATACTTCATTCACAATAACTAGGCGGTTTGATAGGAAGTTCCACTTAATTGTATTTAATGTATGTTGCCTAATCAGCTATTGAGCTTTTATTTTGAACCTTAATTTTTACAGCAATAAGCGGGTTAGACCATTTTGTTGAGTGTAAAAAGGGATATATCATACTAAATTTTAACTTAAATCGTCCAAGCCTTTTTCTAGAAAATCTAATTTTTGTGGGTTTTATAGGAAAAACTCCATTAATAATCAAAATTTCCAAAAAATTAATAAAACTTCTGGTAATACTATGGATTAGTTAGTACCCACTTACTAAATTTAATGATGTTTTCTAGTAAAGCCATTCTGTATTTTGTGAGGGTTGATAGCAGGAAATACTCAAATCCTTTTAAGTTATAAATATGTTTGATTCTGATCAATCTGTAGGCATATCTTAAAAAGATAGTAACAACTAATTATCATCAATTCTTCAGTTGTTTGTACTTCTTACATTTTCCAGCAACATTAAATAGAAAACTTATGTTTTTCTAATCATATTCTCAGTGTACACATTATGGTTGTATTTACTTCATGATATTGTCAATAATTGTAAATATGTTATACAGTATTAAATTTGTTGTTGAATTGTGTTTAATTTATTATTTATCTAGTCAAACTAGTACCTTCATTCACTTTTACAAACTTAAGAAATTGTTTGCTCCTCGGCTGAAAACAATTTTTAAATTTTCGATTGTGGTTTGAGGCTATTTGTTACAGTTTGCTAGATCGTAACTAATTTCTTGGATATGGATGAGTAAAATATATAATATATATCGCAACGTATCTGCACTTGACTTATCCATCTATCTACTCAATACAATAAAGTGTTTTATTTATTTATTTCATAAGGAAACACCATTATACAATAATATACGTTGGCATATTGCACTGTTTTGCATAAAAATATAATACCGGTAACAATAATGAAATGATTGGAAAAAATAGCACTATACAACAATAACAAGAATAGCAATAACAAACATAACAAGAGCAATGAGGTGAAAGTTTAACCAGGTACTTATGCAAATACAAGAAGTGATTTGGAAACAGATTAATTTAACATGGTAATATGTAACAACAATGGATGGAGTATCAAAATAAAAATAACATAACAACAAGGAATCTATAGGTACAAAGAGACAAATAACAAAAAACATGCAAAGACATGATGGTGAAATTTGAAAGAACAGCTACGATCACTGATAGAGATTTAGGTATTTTCTCTGCTACATCCCTTTTTTAGCTGTACTACTCAACCAATCGTCACAATACTGTATAGGTGTATAGCTTATGATTTAGTGCACCAGCTAATGGTAACGAAAAAGGTCAGTCGCACCTAGGTGTCGTCTTGATCTCAATTGATCCTTGATTAACCTACTGGGTACCTATGGCATTTAATTTGTTTTTTCTTGGAAACAAGTTTTGGAGCCTATTAAAATGTGCATAATTTGCGTAAAATTTAAAGGCAGCAAATGTGTATAATAGATACATCGGCTAGCGATTTTTGAACTACACCATTAGTCATCATTCCAACACAGATAGTCTCCAAATCCTTATGATAAGTTAATTAAAATATAGGCTAGTCAGTGGCGGATCCAGAGGGGGGGCAACCGCCCCACCCCCCCAACCTCGGGCATACATATTTTTTTACTGCATGTAATACAGTAGTGTTTACATATTGGGTAAAATATTTTGTGATTGTTCTAGATCCGCCACTGAGGCTAGTGATTGATTAAACTCATATTGTGGATACATAAACTGCACATAAACATATTTGTGGCTACAAAAAACTAAATTATTAATTTGCAAAAAGTATTTGAGACCATCATCGAGCCTAAAGGCATTTTGTCTCCTCTTATTGTTGAAAATGCCATCAGTGATGGTAACTTTTAAAAATATTTATCAATTTGTAGGCTGTAGTTTTTTTTGTGTCAGGTTGGAGTAAATTCCATTTATAAACCTTATAACTTATACAAGAAATTATACGACCTAGACCTAACTGTGGAGTGTATTTTACAGTGTACACTAATTTGTGACCCCCAAAAAATGGGAATTTAGAAATACCCCTACAGCAGCAAACCTGCAGACAAAGCGAATTTCCATTTACCTGATTGTAATTTCACTTAACTATTCTTTTGAGGGACCTTAAAATAAATTTTCAGATTTAAATAATTTGAATTTTAATGAGTACTTATAAGGTTTGCTGCTGCCGGATGGTAATAAGGTGTGCGTGTTTTTTGTTTGTTTTTTTTAATTGAAATGTGTTAATAGGTTAGCCTAAATAAAATAAAATTTACACATTTTTGGAATATTCTCCTTAAGCAATAGTACAACTAACGCTTCAAAATACTAAATTATTAGTTTTTTAGCCCTACAAAATAGGTTGAAAAGAAAATCACAAAATTCATGTTTAGCTATTCGAAAATGAGAATACCGGTACCCATTTTTACCCCTCAGGTTCAGACATGCTGGAGACGTAGAGAAATATATTGAAATGATTGATTTACAATAGGAGATTGCATTGATTATAATAAAGGGCTATCCAGTTTCTTGTATTTAAAAGAATCTTTACCTTTTTGTGATTTTTTTTACATTAAATTTAACCATAGATAAAACATACTCCTCAAGTATGTTGGAACATTAGTATGAGGAGTATGTTTTTGTTTTATCTATGATTTAACCTAGTTTACAGATCTCAAACGCTGATCTTTAACATATACATATAAGTAAATATTTTAACTTATACATGTTAAAGCAGCGTATATATTTTACCTTTTGGCAACTGATTGGGTCCAATTCTGTTTCGCGGACTGTGATAATGTTTTACATTTTCATATATGTATCAAGATTGAAAGATAAAGTGTTCCAATGAAATATCAAGTCACCTGCGTTGAAGCCGCCACGTACGTCACGTCACCGTCATCTGTCTTTTTGCTTGATGCCGTGGATTGTTTATCTTTTTAACTTGCATCAATAACTTGATATTCATCTAAAATATTTAATTAACTCCTAGTCATGGTAAGTATTTTATTTAATTTATTTAATAATTACTGTAGGCCTGTAATGTTATCATACCTTTTTTAATAAATCATGAAATTTCCTTTTTTCAAAACATAACCTACAAACACTTTAAAAAATAATGATGAAATGTATCAACTGTAATTAATTTACTCTAAAAGTTAAAATGGTTATGGTAACCGGATTCTAAACAACAAATATCAGTTTGCTCCCTTACACATTATGAGTTTTAATGAAGGTGGACAGAATGATTCTACTATCGCTTAGTAACTTACTTTTTCTGTTATCAACTGACGATAGTCAACACAGGGGCAATAGGCTAGGCATAACAATTTGAAGCCTACTAAGTTATACTAAGATTATTAAGTTTAGCCTTCTGTCATTGCTAAACATTGGTAGTTGTGGTTATCATGGGTTGCACTTAAGTTTACGTCCTACAATCTTGACAAAACAAAGCCAATCATCATAGGTCACTCACGGTTTTTACTTAGCACACTTGATGTCAACAATTAACCAAAACTCACTGTGAACGGAACCACTTTGACATAACTTATCAAGACAAAGTAAAAAAACTTGGTTTGACATTAAACCGCACATTATACTGGACTGACACAGTACCTAAATACTAAACTTGTAAAAGAGTATTTGCCGCCATTCACACACTGAAAAAGTTGCAACGACACCTACTTACCGTTTCACATTAAACTCCGGCTGGTCAAATCACTTGTATTTCCACACTTCAACTACTGCAACACTGAGGTTAATGATAAGACTGTGGCCTTGGCAACAAAATTACAACGTGTTCAAAATTATGCCTATTGCATTAGATTTTTGTTCAAACTTAGGCGATCGTCACGCCATATTACATTAATGAATCAATTTTGAAATTAGATGGCATCAGAAAAAACCAAATATTTTTAATTACTCATCCAGCCATCAATCTTGGAACACCAAATTATCTAGCCAACAAGTTTACATTTTTGTGTCAAAGAGGCGCAAAACAGTTTGATGGGGGAAAAGACAAGTTCATATTCCACATCCGCCTTACAAACATAAATATAAAGTGTTTTTGTCCTTCCTGAAAAAGTAATAGGAAGTAGGCCTATATGAAAGATTCAATAGAATTTATTGCAGCCATTAAACATAGGTAACATGTTGTAATAGACATTGCTACATTAGAACACCAGTAAGCCTACAGTTAATTAAAAGTTACTGTAATTGAAATACTATCATAAATCAGTCTTAAATTACATGCAATATCTTACTTTAATTCAAAGCATGATCTCTCACTAGGGATCTATTAAAATTTCTTTTTAATGTAGAGTGCTTTGAGAAAGTCTGCAATTTGTTATGTTTAGATTACAAATTACTTAGTTAAGTTTTAAGTTACTTTTAAGACAGTTTCTGAAATGAACAATATTTATTAATATATTGACAAAAATATTAACAACATTTGATCTGTTTCAGCCTCTGCGGTTGGATATCAAACGGAAGCTCACGGCAAGATCGGATCGTGTGAAATGTGTGGATTTGCACCCAACAGAACCATGGATGTTGGCATCACTGTACAATGGAAATGTACACGTATGGAACCATGAGTCTCAGCAACTCGTCAAATCATTTGAGGTCTGTTACAAGCTGAGAAAAAGTACCTAGGTCTATATAAGTTGATTGATAATAGGGGCCTATTGCTAAAAAGAAAAATAAGTAATTACTTTTAATTCTTTTCATAATACAGTACCATTGGTTTTTTTATGTTTTTTTAACGGTGCAGTACAAACTCTTGTCTTATTATTATTTAACGTAAACGATCATTGTGATAAAAACTTGACAAACTGTAGAAACTGCAGAGGAAAGTCCAAGTTTGTTTGACAAATAATTCTTAGGCCTACTTGGTTTGCACTCACCACCCTTTCTGAAATGTTTGATCGGTGATAGTGTGATGTTCCAAATCTGGCCATGTGTAGTCTAGATAGCTTTACAGAACCAACTTGAAACATTACGTTTGTTGCTGTGCAGGTGTGTGATTTGCCAGTCCGAGCAGCAGTATTTGTGCCTCGCAAGAACTGGATAGTCACCGGTTCTGATGACATGCAAGTGCGAGTCTTCAACTACAACACTCTAGAGAGAGCCCACGCTTTTGAAGCACACTCAGACTACGTGCGATGCATTGTGGTACATCCCACCCAACCTTACATTCTCACTAGCAGTGGTAAGTTTTTTGTGCATTTCATGTACGGGTCAATGTCACATAATGATGAATTTTCAGGAAAGTCAAAAAATTTTTTTTTTACTTTTAAAATCGATATACTACTAGCCTATTACAATCAGTATTTACCAAGGAATAATGTATACTAATCAGCAGAGCTGAATTTTTTATACCTTAATTTATAACTCTATTTTTAGCTTGAAGGTCACACAAAAAATGCCAGTCGGTCACGCTGATGAATTTGCAAAAATAAAATAGTAAAAATGATATTAAATTAAAAATGTCATCATAAATGTTACTTATACCCCTCAAAATTCAAATAAACGAAACCAAAATATTTAATTTCGTTCAATTTGAGGAAATTTTAACAATTTGAGCTAACCTAAAATGAATTGGCTCTACTTTGCAGACGAAACTTTAGTATGAATGACAAATATTTCAACAGTGAATTGCAGTAAATTGTTGTTTGTACTGAAATATGATTGCCGGTATGGCATGTATCAGAAAACACATAAACATCATAATATAGGATAAGCAGTTAGTGAAATATATGTGTTTTGGTAAGCGTGAACTACTGGCGTTGACCGTGAACTACTGGCGCTGACCGTGAACTACTGGCATTGATGGCATTGAACAATGTATAACTGGAGTAAGTTACTGAAAAACACATCGAGAAATGGATATTAATTAGAAGAAATGTAAACCCAAATGTAATGTTTCAACAATATTTTAATGAAATCTTTTTTTTATGAAATTACAAACATAGCCTAACATTCTTTGGTCATTTGTGAAAGATTCATTTTGTTTAGAATTTGATGTTATAATGAAGGAACGACTACCATAAAATATTATACCCTAAACCTTATAGTTGTAAAAGAGCAACGACATTTAAAGTACAGCCAGTATTGTGCCAATCGTTCACGATATTCAACATCGTTCACGTGAACAACTGGAGCGTGAACGACTGGCAAATCTGATCTAAAATCTAGTCTATGAAAAGCTACATTTACTGCGTTGACATCCAATTTGAGGTTAGGTTCTAGGCCTAGAGACATTTTCAGAATATGCAATCCTTTTTATTGTAAGTTGCAAAGTTTGTGAGTTATTAAAGTGAACGACTTGAATCTTAATTAAGGTACTATGCATTTCTTATCTGTTTATCAGTTCATTTCTAAAAATCTTCTTAAAATTCACAAAATTGTTTAGCTGTGGCTACTGCGCAAACTCATCACAAGCACTAGAATGTGTTTTGCTGCCAAATTACGCATCGCCCCGTTACTTCTAGAACCCATTTTGTCGAAACGTCTTTGACATGCTGTACCTTGGGGACTGTCTTTAGACAATTAAAAAAAAAGTCCCCATCGTATTTAGAATTTTAATACTGCTTGTTTTTGATAGCAGACGATCTCCCGATGTTTATAGTTCCATTATATTGCAAAATTGTGAGGTTATGAAGTATTTATTATTTGAGTGAACATTACGGCATTAGGCTGGGGACAGTGAACGACTGGCAAATTATGATAAACAGTCTTATTTTTCTTATTGAATAAATTATGATTAGGATCTAAAACTATGTTTGCTGGAAAGGTAAGGGGTTGGATAATAATAACAACACATTATTACTTAAAATAATATTTTTATCTTGCATTTGTGCCCAAAGGACTTCAAAATCACCCATTATGTGACATTGACCCGTACAATTTAAATTTACCTACATTTAAAAAAGTTTAGTTACCGGTACTGAACACATTTTAAGGTTTGAGTATAAATTTGACGAAGTTATATATGTAGTTGGGGCTATTCTTTTTGTCGATATCTGGGTAGGCAAGTTTTTTTCTTTAAAATCTGTTGGTCGCTGGTTCAGTTGCAAGCATCCAGGCCCACTTTTATAAACAGGCAGACTGGGCGTATGCCCAGGGGCGCCAAAGGTTTTGGGGCGCCCACCAGGTACCCCTCAACCACCGCCTGCCCGTACTAGGAAAAAATGGGGGCACTGCTTTTGGGTTTGCCAAGGGCTCCACTGACCCTTAACGCAGCCCTGCAAGCATCGTTTCCAGACCCAGATGCCATTTGTCATTGTGCTATCAATTAATTGTGCTGTTTAGCAAAAGGTTAACATTAAGGTAGACAGATAGTAACAAGACCAGAGTATAGTCCATTTCCTTAGAAAAACGTTAAAAATTCCAAATGTATGAACACACACTCAAACTAAAATAAAAAATTAATGAAAATGTAGGCTATAAACATGAAACGTCCGCCTTGATGCATGAATACGTAGCCTAAACCACAGATTTGGTTTGATCACCATTATTATAATGGTCTATTACTATAATAGACCTAAGCTATCCACACCAGATTTGTCTAGGCTCTCAGTTCCATTCCTCAACTGAGGTCAGGCATTATACATTTACAGCACCACATTTAAATGCATTTAAAATCTGTTTCAATGATCTCCTCTTCAGTTTAAAAATTGACAAGGATGGTGGACTATCAACACACTTGATCCGACCCTTGTACTGCCTGATCTTTGTACTTAGGACTGTCGACTGTCTCACTCACTACCCACCACTTAACTCACTCTTTCACTCTTTTCTATCTCTATATTGCACACACATTTTATATGTACATCAAATTAATGTACTTACAGGTAGCACTATGTCTGCTAGTTTGAATAATATTTTTTTTTTTTTGGCTAGTTAAAACACAAAATGTATCTTCTGTTATGGAAACGCTAATAACTCTGTACCGGTATTATATTTTGTATTGATTCAACCATGTAATTTAAATCTGTAGGTAATTTTTCTTTGAATAAACTCTCCATTCATTCAAATGTTCACGTTGAGGTAAATTGTAGATCTACTACTGTGGGGGAACGAGTTGGTCTAGTGGTTAAAGCATGAGTCTCTGGTACCTGAGGTCCCATGTTCAAATCCCACCAAATCACAAATGGATTTTATCTAAATGCTAATGCCACAACCCCTAGGTCTAGCCTAGGCAACACTAAAAGAACAGGCTGTAATGCTCGTCAAGCATGACGTCTCGATAGAAGACGGCAATGACGTAATGTTTGCCGTTTGTGATCAGCTGCTTGTTTTAATCTTTCCTTGGAAAATAAATAAATAAATACCTACGTCATTGCCATTTTCTATCATGACGTCATGCTTGACGAGCAGTACGGCCTGTTTTTTTTTAGTGTGGCCTTGGTCTAGCCTGAAGTAATGTGAAAAACAGTCCTGGGCTCATGCCTAGCGTCCTAAGAAAAAGAAGATCTACTACTGTGAAGCTATCATTCATAACATTGTTCATATTTTGTTCCATTATTCTTGATTTGAATTTTGAGATTGTTCTGGAGAGTTTAACATAATTTAATTTCCAGATGACATGCTGATTAAGTTGTGGAACTGGGAGAAGCAGTGGTCTTGCCAGCAGGTGTTTGAGGGCCACACTCACTACGTGATGCAGATTGTGATCAACACCAAGGACAACAACACTCTGGCCAGTGCGTCCTTGGACAGGACTGTAAAGGTGAGAGAACGCAAACAAACAATATAAACAATAAAAGCACAGGTACCAACAGCACCTCAACAATGTTTTGATTTCGTTGCTGTAAAAACATGTGACAAGGATATGTAACATTTCCTTAGACGACTGTGTGTTAGGCCTACTGGAGTATATGAACACAAACGTTAAGTTATGAATTTGTCTTTTGAACTGTGTGTTGTATTGTCTGTACTCACGCATATTGGACTGCCGATTCGGGCTTGCTGACAAATGCAAACATTTAGACAAGACATACAAATAAATATACTCTACTACAACTATAGCTACAGGTACACACTGCTCGGTCGACATGTCCGGAATGCAGTTTGGCTGGAAGGAGGACCTTTGTAATTTGTTATCACTGTTGTTATTTTTAGTAGAGTGTAGAATAATTCATTTGATAATAAATTTGGATGTTTAAAACGTCTACTGGATCTTTCTTTGATAAATTTTGTATTTTTCTTCAGCATTCATATACCAGCCTTTCTTACTGTAGGTAGTGCAGAGGTTTCATGTTGGTGTTAAAATCTGAAAAAATTATGATTGGTGTTAAAGATGTGCTGCGGGATTGGATTTTGTATTATTATGGTTCATGCTGCCGGGTAAATGCTCCTTGAATCTAGTCTGGAATATACGGCTGGTTTTTTTTCCACATAGTACCTAAGGCAATTATTACATACACTTTAATAAACCCGGACTTTTCACAGGCAGGTTTCTTTGTGATATCCTTCAAAACACACCTTAAAAATGAACTTAACTTACAGTATTTAAAACCTTCAAAAATCTATGCTGTTACTTAATATTATAGTAATCTGATACATTGTTGTCTGGCAGGTGTGGCAGCTAGGATCCCCCACCCCTAACTTCACCCTGGAAGGCCATGAGAAGGGGGTGAACTGTGTAGACTACTACCACGGTGGGGACAAACCCTACCTGATCTCTGGCGCAGACGACAGGATGGTCAAGATATGGGACTATCAGAACAAGACATGTGTTCAAACACTAGAGGGACACGCTCAAAACATCTCTGCAGGTTTGTTGCGGAATATCTTGAATGAAGTAGATTCTAATGTTACTTTCTCTCACACAACTTCCCAGAAGAATTAAATCTTAAATAGTACCATAATTTGTGTAATTGAATATGCAATGCTTTATTGTTATAAATAAATAAATAAATCTTTATTGGTCATTAAATAACAAATGTTACAATAGACCTCGTATTGTAGAGGGGCCATAGATTCTAGATAGTATAACATGGTCTCACTACTATTAAATATAACAAAGACAACAAGAAAATATAAGACCAGTACAGGCATTGACAAAGTCATTTTAGTTTACATCGAGTGCAAGATCAGAGCATCAAAGTTTAAGTTTACCTATTCTTCTTTCTGACTATCTTTAGCGTTAGTCTAGGTATTAACAGTGGGGTAGCAGAGTTTTATCACCATGGAATTTTACCCCCTGAGCAAAACTGACGTCACAAACTAGGGGGTAAAAATTCCGGCCGCAAACTTTTGAGTTGCACAACATCAGTTCAATAAATTAAAGGTGGAATAAAATGTATATTTTCACGGTTCTGAATTTAATAAGAACACATAAAATTATAAAACCTAGAGTGTACGGGCCGGAAGTTTACACCCAGACTTTTACCCCCTTCATGAGGTCAGCTCAAAATGTACGGCCCAGATTTTTACCCCCGGATTTTTACCCCCTGGCCATATATAGAAATTAGTGGGAATAATTCATTTTCTTCGAAATAAATTGTTTTTCTACGGTCGTTTAAGAAATGTTCACCCATTTACCATTCAAATGGGCTACTCAGTTTGTTTACATACATATTAACTAACAGTTGGCCCCAAAAGTCAAATCCCGAAACTCGAATATCAAAATTAAACAGCAAACACTTAGTTGAGATTATAAATAAACTAGCTGTAACCCGCGGGCTTTGCCCCGTTTAACTTCTTAATTTTCAAGATTATCTTGTTCGCATGGCTCAATCACGTCCTGGTTGAAGTTTGTTCGCTACGCTCACTCACCTTTAGGTTGGAGCTCGTTCGCTACGCTCACTCACCTTTAGGTTGGAGCTCGTTCGCTACGCTCACTCACCTTTAGGTTGGAGCTCGTTCGCTGCGCTCACTTGCCTTCAGGTTAGCTCGTTCGCTACGCTAACTCGCCTCCAGGTTGAAGTTCGTTCGCTACGCTCACTCACCTTTTGGTTGCAAATTAGCTGTTGTCATAAATGTAAAAGAAATAATAGTGCTGCACCCTGTTGGTAATTTTTGTAACTTTAATGCTATTGAACATCACAGAACAGAACCAACTTGTTTAATTGACAATTGAAATAACAGTTAATTGAATTAACAGCTGTTAAGATTCAATAATTTCATTTCTCATAAGGTTAACATGGGAAACTCCAGAGCCACTGGGGCGGAGCCCGAAAGGATTTTTGAAATAAGAATATGCCTATATGTTAATCGGGAATGTGAGCTATCATCATGCCAAATTTCAGCCCAATCCGACCAGTATTTTTCGCGTTCACTTGTCACAAACATACATCCATACATTCATCCATACATCCATACATCCAAACTTTCTCATTTATAATATTAGTAGGATTAAGATAGGCTACTTAAAAATAAAACGTTGACTATTCAATCAAAACTGAAATCAGAAAATTAATTATTCTCACTAATTTCTATATCTGCACAGGGGGTAAAAATCCGGGCTGTACATCTACAGGTAGCCTAAAAGCTAGTTATATGGACAGGGTGTAAAATTCCGCCAGCAAACAAACTTTTAAGAGCGCTCAGGTTACTATGTCAAATTGACGTCAGCTTTGCCCAGGAGGTAAAATTCCAACGACCCTTAACAGTTAGCATTAAGCCTGCTTCTCTTTCTCCTTGTTTAAAGGCTGTAATCAATATGATAAAAAATATGGAACTGTTATAAACCAAATTAGTTTTTAATAAAATGTGTAAAGATTAAAGATTAAAGATTCTATATTTTATCATAATGTGATCATTCAGTTTGGCTCAGTTAGACAGTTAGTGTACAAAACTTTTTAAACCAGAATTTACAGTAATCTATTTTTTTAATCTGCATTAATTTACAATCTGTTGGAGGCTCAATGATGGCTATAGATGTGGATTTTATTCTAACACTTTCAACAATATATAAGAATTAAATATCTAGTTCTATGGATAGTCAAAGATTTACAAATTTTGCATTTAACAAGTTTTGATGGTTAGGGATCCGTAATACATTTTCAGTTTATCTTAATGCTGCATGTTTCAGTCTGTTTCCATCCAGAGCTGCCGATAGTGTTGACTGGTAGTGAGGATGGCACTGTACGTATCTGGCACTCCGGCACATACCGTCTTGAGTCCTCTCTCAACTATGGCTTCGAGCGTGTCTGGACAATTGCCTGCATGCGAGGATCAAACAATGTTGCTATCGGGTGAGGAAATACACTATCAATTAAATATATCTTTTACATTTAAATTTGACTCTTTGTAAATCAACACTTTTCTTCGGGATTAGGAGGGGGATTATGTTCAGGATCAAAAATTACCATTATAAATGAGTACTTAATTTTATCTAATAGTTAAAAGTTAACTTATGATGTCTTATAAGGTAGAACCTACTCTTGGACTATTTTTACAAAACACAATTTGATTTAGTTTATTAACTATTGTGCAGGGTTGAATATTGAAGGCCCAAATAAAATTGAGTTGGCCTATAACCTATATATTTAATTCAATCAGGACCAATTACATTACACAAGTTTAAATGTTAAAAGATAACACTACAGGTCATCTCTTCTGTAGACAAGTGATGGAACCGCATGAAAACTACAAACATCTAGCTAAGCGCCTTAACTAACTTTCTCCTTACATATTAACCGTTGTTTATGCAACATTACTCAAGTTCCATTATGCTCCTGTACAAACATCTACCACTCAACCATTTAGCAGATTACCAAGTGCCAACGTACTATTCTTCTGTTATAGGGGGAGCAAGGTGGTCTAATGGTAGATCGCGGGACTTCGGTCCGGGGTTCAAATCCCTCCAAATCACCAATGGATTTTATCTAAGTGATGCCGCAAACTCTAGGTCTAGCCTGAGTAATGTTATAATTCATTTCCATTCTAGATCCTGAGCTGTTATATTCAATGTAATGAATAGGTTTACATACCTTATAATCTGACAAACACCTCAATTTATGATACAGCTGATTATATGTTTCGGCTTGTATCCACCATTGTCAAAACATAGCAGTTGGATGAAGAAATTCTTGTCATTTTTTAGTAATAGACATAAGCTTACACAACACACACAAACGGGGCAAAAGGTCTCCATCCTGGCCTTCACCCTGCTGCGCTTCCTGCCCTTGCATTTATTGTAATTCTTTTAATATTTTTCATTAAAATTGCGACCATACAATGTAGGTATTTTAAGCTAAGTATGAATGGAGATGAGTGTAGGGTGAGTGGTGCGATCTTGTAGTATTGTTAGTGACTAAGGCAGACATATTCCTTAGACACATACCTACAGGGTGTCTAGTAGTCGGGAAAATCGGGAAAGTCGGGAATTAGTATTGAATTTCTAAACGGTCTTGAAAAGTCGGGATTTAGTCTTAAATTTGATTTCAAAGTCGGGAATTTTCAAGATTTTGCCGCGATCGTCGTCTTGCGTTTACGTAACCGCGAAAGCCAATGATGATGATGTCTACACGGCCTCGGGAAATGTTCACGATTTTGCCGCGATAGTGGACGACGACGATGACGTTTCCGAAACCACAAGAGACGACGATGACATTTCTGTGACAGCGGGAGACGACAATGACGTTACCGTGACCGCGGGAGACGACGATGACGTTTCCAAGACCGCGGGAGAAGACGATGATGTCTTCACGGCCGCGGGAAATGTTAATGATTTTGTCGAGTTCGCGGGAGATGACGATGACGTTTCCGTGACCGCGGGAGACGACGATGACGTTTCCGTGACCGCGGGAGACGACAATGATGTCTACACGGCCGCAGGAAATGCTAATGATTTTGCCGTGATTGCGGACGTCGACGATAACGTTTCCGTGACCGCGGGAGATGACGATGATATCTGCTCGGCCGCGGGAAATGTTCATGATTTTGTCACGATCGCGGGAGATGATGATGACGTTTCCGTGACCGCGGGAGACGACGATGATATCTGCTGGGCCGCGGGAAATGTTCATGATTATGCCGCGATCGCGGACGACGACGTTTCCGTTACTGCGGGAGATGACAATGACGTTTCCGTGACCGCGGGAGACGACGATGACGTTTCCGTTACCGCGGGAGATGACGATGACGTTTCCGTTACCGCGGGAGATGACGATGACGTTTCCGTGGCCGCGGGAGACGACGATGATATCTGCTCGGACGCGGGAAATGTTCATGATTTTGTCGCGATCGCGGACGACGACGTTGACGTTTCCGTGACCGCGGGAGACGACGATGATATCTGCTCGGCCGCGGGAAATGTTCATAATTTTGTCGCGATCGCGGGAGATGACGATGACGTTTCCGTGACCGCGGGAGACGACGATGATATCTGCTGGGCCGCGGGAAATGTTCATGATTATGCCGCGATTGCGGACGACGACGTTTCCGTTACCGCGGGAGATGACAATGACGTTTCCGTGACCGCGGGAGACGACGATGACGTTTCCGTTACCGCGGGAGATGACGATGACGTTTCCGTTACCGCGGGAGATGACGATGACGTTTCCGTGACTGCGGGAGACGACGATGATATCTGCTCGGCCGCGGGAAATGTTCATGATTTTGTCGCGATCGCGGGAGATGACGATGACGTTTCCGTGACCGCGGGAGATGACGATGACGTTTCCGTGACCGCGGGAGATGACGATGACGTTTCCGTGACCGCGGGAGATGACGATGACGTTTCCGTGACCGCGGGAGATGACGATGACGTTTCCGTGACCGCGGGAGACGACGATGATATCTGCTCGGCCGCGGGAAATGTTCATGATTTTGTTGCGATCGCGGACGACGACGATGACGTTACCGCGACCGCGGGAGATGACGATGACGTTTCCGTAACCGCGGGAGACGACGATGATGTCTACACGGCCGCGGGAAACGCTAATGATTTTGCCGTGATTGGGGACGTCGACGATAACGTTTCCGTGACCGCGGGAGACGACGATGATATCTGCTCGGCCGCGGGAAATGTTCATGAATTTGTTGCGATCGCGGACGACGACGATGACGTTACCGCGACCGCGGGAGATGACGATGACGTTTCCGTGACCGCGGGAGACGACGATGATGTCTACACGGCCGCGGGAAATGCTAATGATTTTGCCGTGATTGGGGACGTCGACGATAACGTTTCCGTGACCGCGGGAGACGACGGTGATGTCTAAACAGCCACGGGAAATGTTCATGATTTTGCCGTGATCGCGGACGACGACGATCACGTTTCTGTAACCGCTGCAGTCAATGATGATATCTAAACGTACGGTACGTGGAAGATTTCATGATAAAAAAAACCAAATTTGCTAGTTAGAATTTTTTATTGCTGCATTATTTCTTTACTTGAAAACACTACATTATCATAATACTACTTTTTGACAAAGACAGGGGTTGGTGTAGTATTATTTAGAAAATTTGGCTAAGCTATAAAAATTGGTATCGGTATCAAGAATTGAGAATCGATACATTTTGGTATCAACATTCAACACCCACTAATTGTTGAAAAAACTGGTCTTGAAAAATCTGGAATTAGTCTTGAAAAGTCTGGAATTAGTCTTGAATTTTACAATGGAAATAAACTAGACACCCTGTACCTATTATAGTTATAAATAATAGGCCTATTCAAAGTTTTTATTCGTTTCGTAGATGTCTTCGTCCCATTCGTGTATGTGTGTGTGTGTAACTTTATGTCTATTAAAAATTGACTAGGATTTCTTCATCCAAACTGCAATGTTTTGACAATGGCGAATACAAGCCAAAATATGTATCAACTGTGTCAAAAATTGAGCTGTTTGTCGAATTATGAGGTATGTAAACTTATTTATCACATTGAAGTAATGTGTGAAACAATCCCAGGCTCATGCCTGGCGTCCGAGAAAAAAAGAAAGAAACGTACTAATTCATTTTGCATTTCAAATTCAATTAATTCTCACACTTTCCTAGTTGAAGCATTAAAGACTTAACTCATTTCAACCACCAAATCATATGACCATAATTTAAAATTATCAGCCTGAAACCAATGCCTAGTGCCAATTAGTGGTTTCCTAACGTAACCTTACTTCGCAGGTACGACGAAGGGAGCATCATGGTGAAGGTAGGCAGAGAAGAGCCGGCTGTGTCGATGGATGTTAACGGAGAGAAGATAGTGTGGGCAAGACACTCGGAAATACAACAAGCCAATTTGAAGGCGATGCCGGAGGGTATTGAGATCAAAGACGGAGAGCGACTGCCAGTGGCTGTGAAGGACATGGGAAGCTGTGAGATCTACCCGCAGACCATTGCGCACAACCCCAATGGCAGGTTTGTAGTACAAAACAATATTTGAGTCGGTGAAAGTGAATGTGATGTTTGACAAAGTGGTTTTCCAATTTTTTTTATGTTCTGGTAAAACACATTCAAGCAATGGATCGGTTCCAAAACTGTTGCTCCAATCATTATAATTATCCTATAAAATAATTTAACAGTAAAATAATTGCTAGTAATCTTTTTTATAGCCTAAAATTTCTTATCTTTTCATTTCTGTATTTTGATACAATTTTCTGCAAAGTAGCCCTATGATTTTATCGGTGTATCATTTCATTTCCTGATACTTGGTCACATATGTTACACACATTATGTTCTTGAAATTTGTACTTGATACTTCAACTTGTTTTTCTAATGTAGTATATTTAACTCAACTCATTAAGACAGCAATGCACATGTTGATGCATATTTTAAGCTGAATATGAAATAATGGTGCACAAAGGGGAAAATTGGGTGAGATGATTCTGTTACTGCTTTTCTACTGACTAAAGCCATTTCACTAGACATTTTTTTTTTTTCACCCCTAGTAACAAGCAGCTAGAACCACTAGAAAACTAATTAAAAATACTCATGCCATTAAAGATCTTGTGATACCAAAAAGCCTTTAAATATCAAAGAGCTTGCAATAATGGGGTCAATACATCAAGCATGTTGCTATAGAGGTTTCACAATTTGCAGTATTCTGATTAGATAGTAGAAATATTTCGAATCTAAAGAACTTGAACGTTGTATCAGGTTTGTGGTGGTGTGCGGAGATGGTGAGTACATCATCTACACAGCCATGGCGCTGCGTAACAAAGCGTTTGGCTCGGCTCACGAGTTTGTTTGGGCTCAAGATTCCTCTGAGTACGCAGTCAGAGAGGGAACCACCACTGTCAAAGTCTTCAAGAACTTCAAAGAGAAAAAATCCTTCAAGCCAGAGTTTGGAGCGGAAGGTTAGATGTTAGATGGGATGCATACTAGTCAATATTCTATACAGGTGTTAGGGATGTGACTTGTCTAATTGTTAAGAAATGGTGTTAAAAATTCTGCCAACACTTAAGGATTTTCAACTAGTGACATCATAACAAACCTTATTTTCAGAAGAAAGTTTAGCTCTGGCAAGCTGAAGTGCTCACAGACAACTTTGTTTTCAAGTACAATTATTTGTCTAGCTACATTTCTATTGGAAGCCTAAATGTGTTCTGATCTTAGAAAGTTTTAAAACCAAAATTTCTAATGCTCTTCACTCTTCTAAATCTTGCTAATCAAAAGTATTATATTTAAAAGTAAACCTCTCATGTCTAAATGTTTGTTTTTATATTTGTATCTCCTTGTGCAGGTATTTTCGGAGGGTTTCTGTTGGGGGTTCGATCAGTGTCAGGCCTGGCTCTCTACGACTGGGAGAACTTAGAATTGGTGAGGCGCATTGAGATACAGCCAAAACATGTGTTCTGGTCGGAGAGTGGGGAACTGGTTGCCCTGGCAACGGAGGACAGCTACTTTGTGTTGCGCTACGACGCCAACGCTGTTCTAGCAGCGAGGGAACAGGGAGGCGACGCAGTGACGCAGGATGGTGTGGAGGAGGCGTTTGATGTGAGTTAATGAGGTTTTTTTGTGGAGGGGTCAGTTGGAGTACAGCTAAGCTACCATGAACCTTTTTTTCTTCTTTAAAAAGTCAATAAAAAATATACATGTTTGTGTAGTCACAAATCACTTAAAGATATAAATAAGAAGCTGTTTAACCTTCTAGTGATTTCTTTACCACTTCTAAGGCTGGATCAACCAGAGTAGGTAAAGGAAACACTAGATTAAACTAATGTAAAATAACCTCTTATTTGGAAAATTTTAACCTGTGTGTCCAGTTGAAGTGTTTCTTAAATAAAAATCACATTGTATTCTCTAAGGATGAGTAACACAATTTCTAAGACTGAGAAGTGATTTTCAACACTAAACCTCTTAAGCAGGTTGTTGGAGCATTGTTCCTTGAACACTGAGTTTTCAGCATGATAAACTCTTATTCCAACACTTGCATCTTAAGAAACAAAGAAAAAAGTCACTGAATATCATTAAATTAAAATAATGGAGTTATTCTAATTTTTCTTTCTAAGGTTTTGGGTGAAGTGCACGAATCGGTTCGCACAGGATTGTGGGTCGGAGACTGTTTCATCTACACCAACAGTGTTAACCGCATCAACTACTACGTAGGTGGAGAGATAGTGACGGTGTCTCATCTAGACAGGACCATGTATCTGCTAGGCTATGTGGCCAAGGATAACAGACTGTACCTTGGAGACAAGGAGCTCAACATTGTGTCTTACAGGTCAGTAAACAAACCGATGGCACCGCGAACGTGGAAAATGCTTACGGTTGTGCAAACACGGGACATGTTGATGATGGCACCAAAGACCCATTATTGTTTTTATAGAACAGTGCAACAGACTGAACATTGATTTTGTTTGTCATTATTGCTGTATGAAAAAATGTTTAATCAAGATTTAACAAACCCTTTATTGCACCGGGATTAAAGTCATCCTGAAAATTGGGAAGGAAATAAAAATTTGGTCCCAACGCGCCCCGAACAAAAGTACAATCCTGTCCATAATTAATTGATACAAAGAGCTGCTGATGAGAGAACATAAGCTAACCTCACACTAAGCTATAGAAGCCATGTTAACAGTTAGGATGTATGGATTCTCCATACCACCAATACTTGGACATTGGTGATGAGAATTAATCGTCAATACCGATACTGAAATCTACATGTCTGCAAAGACCGTTTGTTCGAAAAATTCACAGTTTTACCGGGATTACCGATGATGACGATAACGTTTTTGACCGTAGGGCGTAGACGATCCGAATTTTTGCGTGATCATGGAAGAAGATGATAATTTCTACAAGACCGCACAAAATGTTCATAATTTTGCCGTAATCAACAAAGATGATCCCGTGACTGCATGTGATATGTTTTGATGGTGTAGGCTAACCAATCCACATTAACAATTTGGTATCAAGAATCGATAGATTTTGGTATCAAGACATCACTAGTTAACAGTCATTGTGTTAATACATTGTAATAACCTTAGTTTTTGTTTCTCTGTTGACATTGGACACTATTTTTTGGTTGATAATATTTTATTTAAGAATTTAAAAACTAAGACTTCAGGATTTTTTCTGTGAATTTTTATTGATTTACATGTGTAATTTTACTTCTATTTGTATTTTTAAACAACTACGTTTTATACTGAACCTAATTTAGCTTCCAACATTTTCACTTGTTTATAATATATTTTAATAAATTTTCTTTTCCTTTCAGTTTACTCCTATCAGTATTAGAGTACCAAACCGCTGTGATGAGGGGAGATTTTGAAACAGCAGACAAAGTATTGCCCACCGTACCCACACAGTATCGCACCCGAGTTGCTCACTTCCTGGAGAAGCAAGTAAGTTGTTGATTGGATAAGATTTTAATTCAAGATTCATTGAATATTAGGATTTCATATTTTCTAAAATCCATAAAGGGTATGGATACAACAAAAGTTTTTTATTTAAGATTCGTTGAATGTTTTTGTGTAGACTAATGTGAAGATTGATTTATTTCTTTGAATCCCAAGATGGCTGCAACAAGAGTTTCAATATATGAGTTTTATGATAAGCATACTGCTTAAATTTCTCAAGGGAATCTAAAAAATCAAATGTACCTGACAAAGTCTATGACCAGTAAATGTTTCACGACAAAGTGTTTTGCAGGGGTTCAAGCAGCAGGCGCTGGCAGTGTCCACTGATCCAGAGCACAGGTTTGAGCTTGCGCTGCAGCTAGGAGAGCTACAGATCGCTACCACCCTGGCTCGTGAGGCCGGCCACACACAGAAGTGGCGACAGTTGGCAGAACTGGCCACGAGCAGGGGTCAGCTGCAGTTGGCGCAGGAGTGTCTACACCAGGCGCAAGACTTTGGCGGCCTGCTGCTACTAGCCACCTCTGCTGGTAGGTGCAACCTCGCTTATTGTAGTTACATTTTGTCTGGGGTGATATCATGGAATTTTTGGATTCTAAAGTATCACTTTTATATGGCCAAGTAGCAGCAGATTTTCACAAACTGCGACAGGCTCAAGAACAGGTTGTGCATAATAGAAAGTAATAGAACATTGTAAATCTGAAAATTTGAAGAACAAGCTATTCAACATTCTATCGTTACTCACAAACCGTTGACTTCTACACGGTATCCCAAATTGATTTTCTTTCTTGTCCCGTTATCTTATTTTTTCTATTGATCACTTATTTATTTCTTCGGTCATATCCTTTCTTGCCTGAACAGATCTTCATTAGACACAGTTATACACATTGCATACTATCACAGAATGAAGAATAGAATTAGATACGGTACTTATAAGAGTTATAGTTTTGTAACAAAGTTAATAGATAAAATGATACAAAACTTTTTTTTAATACAGTATAGGCTAAATAAAAACAGAGCAGATCATTATAGCTATAATATTGTGTAGGTATTTATTTTCAATTTTGTTTTGTGAATCAAGTCAAGATTAATGTAGTAACAAAGATAAAATGCATGTTTCACCCACTTATTTCTTGTTTGTTTAGGTAACGCGGAGATGGTCCGCAAGCTTGGTGACTCTGCAGAAACCACTGGCAAGAACAACGTAGCTTTCCTCTCATTCCTGCTGCTTGGGGAACTGGACAAATGTCTGCAGATACTTATTGATACAGACCGCCTGCCAGAGGCTGCGTTTTTTGCTAGGTATACAATTGGCATAGAACTCAGAACATATTGTTTGAAAACCCCCTTCTCCACTACAGTAGTTAAGTGTGAAAAAAATTTGTTAAACTGTAAAACACACTTCACAGTTTGTCATTTTTTTAAACAAAGTCATTTAGCCTACAAATAGTTAATCTAGCAGGGTTTTAAAAACACCGTGTTTCGTTCTCTGTACTACCATTTGAAGACGTTATCTATTTGGAGTGTATCCGATACTCAAACGGCTAGTTTTTTACTTATAGCGAATTTCCCTATAGGGAAGTAACTCCTTATAATAATAAAATCTGATTCTGTAACCTGTAACCTTTATGCCAGTTTGTAAATGACAATACCAGTAAGTGAATCTACTATATTAGTTAGTGACCAACATAGCAGTTAACCAATCAACATGGGGCAGACACAGAATTCATTTACAATTTGAAGTTTTAAGTGGCGTATTCAGTGAGGCAAGACTAATGGAATTTACTCACAGGGATGACCCAGCCATTGTCCTAGGCCATTAATGGAGGTGTGCTAGTCTACACCTCCATAGCTCGCCTCAAGTAATCTGAGATCGGGAACAATGCAATCAAAACTGAAATAAATTAAACTACTGTCACTGACATAAGCCATGGCTGATACACTTTAACCTATCGAAGATGGACATTTTTTTAAATTTCAACAGGATATGTATATTTAAAAAGAAGCAAAACAGGTGTTGTGAGCAATACTTATTATAAAGTCACTAATGCCGTCAACTCCCACCCAAACCAGACACTGTTTATTTAAGGTGGGCCCTCCATGCCTGCTAAAACACACATTTAGTAAGCTCCATATGGATTGAACATGTACGGGATTCAAACACGCCCACGTAGAAAGACCTCAATTTTCTACTCGGCTGTGCAACAACGCCTTAGCCAACTGAGCTACCATGGTCACCATCGGGTCGATTAGCACTATGAGCACACAACGACACTAGTGCTCGAAGGTTGGATTTGACTTACCGTAGACTCCCTCTTATCCGGACTCCTCGGGACCGAGGCCAGTTCGGATAACGGATTTTCCGGTTAAACCGACGTCCCCAAAAACTCGTTAAAACGGACTGTTTACTGTGATATTCAACTTAAATTTAGGAGAGCATTGTATTTAGACACGTGATCACTAGTCTCAAATCTTTCCCACGAGAACAGTCGTTTCAGTACTGCCCACTTCCTGCCGATCTAGTTCGGTTAAACCAATGTGCTGATAAAAATTGTCCGTTTAAAGAGATGTCATTTCCGCCGAGTGTAGTCCTGTTAAACCGATGTCCGGTTAAAAGGTGTCTGGATAAGAGGGAGTTTACTGTACTACTCGAGGGCCAGTGGGTCTCTTAGTGAAATGTAATGACAAGCTACATTCGGTAGTCATCATCGATGGTTAAGTTAAACCCAAAAAAAGATTATAAAAACTAACACTGAAACAAATTAAACTCGGACATAATAACAGGATATGATATAAATAGTTAGTTAAATCAATACTTAGTTAAGAATCTCTCGAAACTTGCTGACCAAATCTCAAAACCGAAACTTTTCCAATGTTTATGTGCTTTTTTGCCATAATATTTGGTTTAGACACATCAGTAACACCTATAACCTCTATGCAAGTTCCCACATCAATATTTTGCTTGTGTTCAGGACATACATGCCGAGTCAGATGAGTCGAGTGGTGCAGTTGTGGCGAGAGTCGCTGTCCAAGGTCAGTGAGAAGGCAGGACAGTCCCTGGCGGACCCCAAGGACTATGAGAACCTGTTCCCAGGACTTCAGGACACTCTCAAGACTGAGCAATATCTTGAGCCTGAGAGGCGAAGTTTGCTGCCAGCGTCTGCTTTCCCCAACCTTCCGGTAACTAATAATTGATAATTATTCTACCTGCTGGCAACTATACATCTTTAGGGAAAGGCCCCGTCTGGAGGCTCAACTTCATGTAAGAATGATGTCAGTGAGGACAATTGGACCTGTTAGTCACAATGTGTCCTGGAGTCTATGTATAAAAAAGCTCGGCCTTTACCGGCATGCGGTCTAGGTCATAAAAGAACTGAATGCCAGAAATGGTGCGAGTTTAAGGGCATTTCACATCCACATGTTCTGGCCTAGATAATTGGGGAATGTTGCTGAAAGTCAACAGTCCCGGAAGATCAAATAATTTATACCTGTGCCGCTAGGTCAAAAACTACAATGTTTGCAGTGTCTGTAGATCAAAAGTCCCAGTAAGTCAAATAGTACAGTCCGAGCTAAAAACATGGTCTATGTTAAAGCAATTGACTTATTGGGAATTTGACCTAATGCAACAGCAGTTTTAATATAACGAAATACGGTAAAATACAAGTTTAGTTTCGCTGAGTCAACAGTGCCGGAAGATCAAAAGCAATAAAAGTGAACGTCGATTCAGTGTAAAGTAGACCTCCTGCAACGCTTACTACACCAACAAAACTCGCTTTTAGTTACTTCGTGTTTTGTCATAATTAGAATAGAGCTAAAATTATCATATTTGGTATATAGCTTATCTATTAATGCTTCTTGCTAACTGTTTGGTCAACACTGTAAATAGGTATAGTTTATGTAATAAAAAGCCTTTTGTCAAAATTTGTGGCATGAAATATACGCAAGGACGATCTGAAAATTTCTGGTTATTATATACACTTGTAAAAGGAGATCCATTTAATTTTAGAACTATTTTATGAGTTATAATGTAGTCTACAAATAAACTGTGTAAATGTATTACGCCTCGGAAGGGTTGAAACCTGTCCAAACTATCATATATATTATTAAAACGTAATTGGGGTTTTTTTCACATTCTGAATCAACCAGTCGACGGATTTTCATTATTTTTGTGTTGAAAGAAAGATAATTTTGAGAACTAGGGAATGTCAAAGCCATAATTATAATTACGGGTCCCAGTTTTTTAGAAATTAAGTTTTAATTTTTAAAAAGTCTACCAGCCGACGCTAACCTTCTAAGCTAGCTTTTAGTACAATATAATTTGCTTAACATAACAGCTGTAAACATTCAGCATTTGTGACACAAATTCAGCATTTGGAAACAAATATTGAGAGTTGACTTATTTATACTATGTGTAATGCTGACCATTGATACATTCAATTCTTAGGTATGAGGATGGCAGATTAATTAAATATGCATAGTAAAATAGTAGGATGTTCAAATTATTTTTTAAAGGAATCTTTGTAATCATCGATTTGTTTTAGTCCCATATAATTTGTTTTAACTAACAGCTGGTTGGATGTAATATTGTTCTATATAACTATTAGGTTTTTGGCGAATTTCCCATATAGGGAATAAGCTATTACCGTAGTACTTATGGTAACACCTGGACCCAGGCCCGATTTAATTTTTCGTTTTGAGGTCCCTAGAGACCAAAAACACCATCCGTTCAAATTCATATATACAGGGTGATCAACTCAAGGAGGCCACGATTGGGAAATCGGAAACGGTAAGAATTAGAGAAAACTTTAAATGGGGGACATTCCTTTATTTTTTGTGGCAGTTAAAAATATGATTTTAGTTTTTTTATCATGTTTTCGGATAGAATATGCAATTTAAAAACTTTTTAGCCTTGACATTTTTTCGATAAACCCACTAGTTTAGGAGTACAGCCTATGGAAAAATGACTTCCGGTGTACATTTTACATCATGTAGCTCCTAAACGAGCAAGTTTAGAGCAAAATTGCAAAAAGTAAATTAGTCTTAGAATTGCATCTGCATTCCTTAAAGACTATATAATAAAACTAACTTTTCAAGTTTGCCACCATTTTTTAAATAATTTAATTCATATTTTTAATTAATTGTATGGTCTTTTTGGTATGGTGGATGCAGTTGTAAGACTTTTTTACTCTTCGCATTTTTGCTATAAACGTACTTGTTTAGGAGCTACATGATGTAAAATGTACACCGGAAGTCATTTTTTCATAGGCTGTAAATCCTAAACGAATGGGTTTATCGAAAAAATGTTTGGGATAAAAAAGTTTTTAAATTGCCTATTCTATCCGGTGTTCTATAAGAAATTTCAAATTTGGCCGTCATTTTGGAAAATGGTGACTGAATAAAGAAAAACTAAAATCATATTTTTAACTGCCACAAAAAATAAAGGAATGTCCCCCATTTTAAGTTTTCTCTAATTCTTACCGTTTCCGATATCCCAATGGTGGCCTCATTGAGTTGATCACCCTGTATAGCCTATATTTATTTATATATATTTTTTCCGGGGGGAGCCCCAGGACCCCCCTCTTTTTTTTTTTGGGGGGTATTCCATACTCCCCAGGCCCCCGGTGACCCCCCCAAAATATATGTCTAGGACCGCCCTTGTCTTCTTTACCTATAAAACACATGGGACACAGCCTTTCTTCACTGATCACGTAATGCGTGATTTTCTATAAAGTCTTGGAAAAATAAAAGGTAAAATAGATAGAATACAGGTGTACTGTATGTGGTTTACACACAAATATTCATCAAACTGTGTGATATTTTGTTATTGCAATGAACAATTTGGGAGTATCGTATTGTTTAAGTCGATAGAAAATCTCTGTTGATCCTGTTTTACAAGGAAACCAAAAAGATACAGTAGTCACCACTCTATGTATACTCACACACCTCTCTACATATACCTAACAGTTCGATATAAGCATTGAGTATACACGTCAGTAGATACGTGTATACCCAATGATATAAGCAACGGTTCTTGCAATTTATTGCTTATTGTTTTTTAGAGTTGTTTTCGGACTTACTCACACTCGTATAAGGTTGTCCAAGTTTGTCATTGATAATGTAGCCATGTTACACCCGTTGTCACGAATATGTTTACAAGTTTTCCGTCTGTTTTTGAATAGCGATACATTTTTCCACATACTTAAGAACCACCTGATTTCGTGCATTAGGGCCTACATGTTCGTCTCAATTTTATTTGCTTTAGTAGGCATTCTTTTGGTTGATGAGGACTTCAATAGGTCCTTTCAATGATTGCTCATGAAATATCGTACTTTGTCCATTAATTTTTATTGTTTGGTAAAATGGATTAAATTATCCAGCAAACCCAAAGCGAAATAGTAAATATAGTATTTCAAACAAATCAGTAACATGTTAATAATGTAACCTACATTATTTCCTTGAATTGCATAACAGCAATTAGTTGAGCTGATCTAATATAAATAAATCAATATGTTCTTCATAGGCATAACATGGGTTCTTTAAGAGCCACTGGGGCTGAGCCCAAGGGATTTAAAAAACGTAAGGTTGGTTTGCAAATGTACGTGACACGCTCTTTCTGAGACATGAATGGTCAAAATCGCCTAAGAAATGCGGAGGAGTTCAACGGAAAAATTTCGTGTTGGCGTTATACAGTATGGTTGAAAAGTCCTGGATTGGCTATATTTTTTTTAACAATATAGATAAAGTAGTGAGACTTGGTATATCAATAATAGCCATAAATATCTACTGTCTTAAGCTATTATCCCTTTTTATCCCTTAAGGGGGATGGATCACAAAGACTAAGACAAAATTCTTATATAATTTTAATACTATTTTACCTGTTTTTGAAATGGCGACCATACAAATGTATGCATTTTAAGCCAAATATTAATGGAGATGAGTGTGTGATGAGTGGAGCGATCTTGTTGTCCTATTAGTGACTAAGGCGGACATAATCCTTAGACACAGCTGTTAATTAATAGTCCATACAGTCAATTAATAGCAGCAGAGGTCAAGTTTGGTATCAAATTAAAGGTTTTATTCATAAAAATACATTGCCGCAAACCCAAACTCAATCGATGATGATGATAATCATGTGATGTAGCTAAAACGTATCGTTTGAAATTTAACAGCTGAAAATAAGTGAAATAAAAAAGGTTTTGGTCAAATCCATCAAATTGTAATTGGCACTTGTGATCCCTCTCCCTTCGGTTTGATGTATTCCTCCCAATCAGTTCCAACCTAGGAGGATTAAACATTAATGTTAAATCCTCCTAGGTTCAAACCTGAAACACCCAGATCGAAACTCGCCTGTCGTTATTTTAACATCGCCATATGTTTTTTACTATATTTTTCAAAAAAGAAAGATTATATTGATTTACTTTGGATTTTAAAAATGTGAACGTTTTATTTTATTAAAGATTTATGGTGATACGTAAATATTGTGGTGTGGTAAAGTATATTATATTGTAGTTAAGTGTTAAATTTTGAAATGTTAAGGTAAATCGAGATGAATCTTTTTAATAACATGGGTCTCTCCTACCTTAACATACATACCAAGTTTCATAAACATCGGTTGGAAGAGTGTAAAAATAAATATTTGTATGTAAAAAATACAAAATGGCGGATATCTGGTTAACGAAACGATTTTGGAAAAAATGTTATCCTTCATTTTCTGTTTATTTTGACCCAAGGAATTACTAGGTAAAGTATCTCCATGCTCTTTTTTAACACCCTGTATATGATGTATTCTTATTAATAAAAGTGAAAAGTGTAAGCTGGTAATACAGAAAGATTTTTTATAAATAATATGAATGTACTGGTGATCTGTATATTCATCTTTTTCTTGTCCTTAGAACTGTAAATTAAAAGTCCACTCAGCAGTCGTATCGTACGATGTAGTTCTTTCCATGCGTTGCGAAATGCTAAATTTGCCGTCCTCTTCAACCCAAGTTATCTATTGAACCACTGATTGTAAAAAAAAATAAATATATTTTACGCATCACACTTTTGGCTACAACTTTGCCACAGACAAAACCTCTCTAACCCAAAAACAAACAAAAATCTCGCATGCTAACTTTTTCATGTTAGAAATCACGATTTAAAACTATTTCACCATACATATCAATTTTTATTAATTAGATCGGTAAATAGTTTGAAGTTCCAACAAAATAGTCATCGAGTAGGACTAACCAAGAAGCTCTGTGCCAATTTTCAAAATTTTAGCACAACTTTAAGTACACCAAAACACGAAATTATTGAAGTCATGCGTCGAGAGGACTATCGTTGTTTTTAACAGATTATACTTTTGACCTTCCGACACTGTTGACTCAGCGAAACTGAACTTATATTTTATCTTATTTCGTTATATTAAAACTGCTGTTGCATTAGGTCAAATTCCCAATAAGTCAATAGCTTTGACATATAGACTACGTTTTTAGAACGGACTGTATTATTTGACTTACTAGGATTTTTGATCTACAGACACTGCAAACATTGTAGTTTTTGACCTAGCGGCACAGGTATAAATTATTTGACCTTCCGGTACTGTTGACTTTCTGCAACGCGTCCGATAATTGTTGTGAAAAACAATTCAGGTCTGTGTCCAACAGAGAAGAAAAATGGTATGTGAGTAATCTGTAATCAGTGCAGGAGTCTCACCACACTAAAGTTGGCCTTATGTGACTGTAAAGGTGTCTCCTCTCCACTCAAAAGGAAAAAAAAGAAAACATATATCCCTTTATTATTTAACCTATTGAAGTGGCCAAAGTACTTTTATATTTTTACAATTCAAAAATATTCGCCACCCCAAATACTAAACTTTGTTTATGTGGTGTTTCTGTTGCAGGCCAATCATGATAGGAACCCTGTGGCTGAGATGAGGGAGGCTGAGGCCAACGCTAGGTTCCACTACAGACCCCCCGGAGTGTCGGTAGAGGACGAGGTGTTGTCTCACGGAGGTATGTTGATCATCCTATTCTTCTTGTTACTTGTAATATTCCAGTATAAACATAAGGAAGGTAACAATGCTTAAGAAAAACAAAAAGAATAAACCAAGATTAGAATTTGTGATACGCCTTAATGCTCTGAGCCCTGCTGTAGAATGATATATCGCTCTGAGTTGCGTCCTTACATGGGTTATAAGGCGAAGTCAACAGATTATCAAAGCCCTATTGCCCATCCCTTTATTGTGGTTTACTTTAGGTTTTGTCTTGAGGCATATATTTAAGATTGATCTTCAGTTGAAAACTTAAATATGCTCTTCTGGCCTCTTTTTATTAAATTATTATTCAAACAACAAAAAACTGTTTTAACTTACAACAACATTGATAAGTCACTTCTTTTGTTACAGAAGACATAAATAATTTACACAAATCATACCACAAATCCTGTTGGTAGGTAAAAGATCTACATGTCCTTCTCCATTCAGTACAAGTTGAATGTTCACAACAATCACAACCATCCGTCCATTGCTCACCAGCACAATTTACTCTAGCTTAATGCAATTTTAGGCAAAGGAGATGAGGATCGTCTCCTCCGAGGATCAGTAGACCCGGTTTTGATGTCATCCCCTGCAGGAGAGTTTACGTTGCCGCCTAAAGCTGCGCCGAGCCAACCAGTCAAACCTCCCCCCACCACCTCGACACAAGACGATGATGATCTTGAGCTGGACTTGGACAACATGAACCTCGATGACATTGACACATCGGTAAGTTAACATTGTGTAGTATCTCAGCTTGTGTTTTTCAGTAGTTTTGTGTTCATTTCTGAGGTGTTGCCTTCCAGATTACTTACCAAATACTAAAATAGAGGTTAAATACCTTGTTGCCAACGTAATCCTTGGTAGACTTAATGGCTACAGTTTTCGACACACGTTTATGACGACCTCCTAGGAGCGAAAATCACATCTAGGCTTAACAATGACACCATAAGTGTGTGTCGAAACCTGTAGCCATTAAGTCTACCAAGGATTACGTTGGCAACAAGTTATTTAACCTCTAGATTAGTTTTGTGTTACTTTGATACTGATTCGTTTTTTCTTGATCAGCATAGTTATTTAGTACGTTATGTTTGCCAAATAGGTTATGTCTTAAGTTTCTAATGTTTGTTGAAATAAAAACATTACTACTAACAAACTAACAAATTGTGCATACTAATTTGAATGTGTAGAATTAGTTGTTTATATATTTGCTGGTGATTTAGAGGAAGGAGATGCATTTCAACTTATCCGGATTGTAATTGTTGTATGTCCAACACAAAATTATTAGAAAATATTCACCTACCCAAACTAGATTGTTAGCTATTTTTGTTTATTTGTATCTTGAAGGAATTTTCATTTTCTGAATCCTTGATCACTACCTCATGGTAGTTTGGAAATATAACATTTTAAAACTTAGTGTAAAGTAAACCACTTTTTAAATACAATCTCGATAGCTTGCTAGCTCAAATGCAAATGAGGGCGAGTTGTTACTTCACTGTAATCTGTGAATGCGTTGTAAACTTACAATCTTCGTATGTCATTATATTAGATATCGTTTTATTTTTACTTAAGTTTGACTCCTGGTTGGATACGAATGAGAACGCTGGAGAAAACCTCCCTGCTGCTAACTTGACAGAAAGTGGTCCTGTCAAACATCTGACTAAGGGGGATGAAGGCGAGCTTGACCTGGATAGTATGAATTTTGATGATATTGCCACCTCTGTAAGTCTGTCGGTTGGTTTGGCTTCATGGTTTTGTTTTAACATCTTTCACTGGGATTCATATCATAATGGTGTTGTGGCAAATAAATCATGAATTCTTTTGTGTTGAATTATTTAGAGTGTTTGAAAAACTCTAGTCAGCTGGTTGACTATGTGTGCGTTTTTGTGTGTGAAAGCAAAATAATTTGTCAATATTTTATTTATTTCTTTATATTATAACTGTTATTCAAGGTGTCTTTTTTTACGCAACCCAAACAATTAAGACTACCGTGAGATAATTTGTAATGACACAACCAGCTTTTATGTTGGCATCCCTGTTTTATTTATTTCATTTCCGATCAGCTGATATGCATTGTTTCATAGATATATAGTGTTTAGTGTTTGTGAAAATGAATTGTAAATAAGACTCAACTTGGTGTTTTCACAAGCTAAAATTAATAGAGAGTACAAATTGTAGTCTGTTTTGTTTTTGTTTTTTAAAGATCTGATTTCCATAAGCTTTTGACAATTCTACGAATAGCCATTTTGTAGGTATTGGAATCACACATGAAAATTCAAACCTATCTTGGCATAAAACAAACAAAACATTATTTTTGCACATTAGTTTTTTTATGTGCATATTCTTTGAGCTTGCAAAAACCTCATGATGAGCCTTACTCACAATAAATTCCCAAGAATAACGCATATTAGCAGATTGGCAACCAAGTAAAATAAAACAGGGTTGTCAACATTTGTGTTTGCTTTGTCATTAAAAGGTGTCTAATGGTACTTCTAATTTGGGTTGCATAAAAAAAAACATTTGTTAATAGATTTTTTGTCATACTGCTGTAAAAATTGCTGTTTTCAGTAGGCTACAATGTAATGGGACTCCAAAGCATGATCAGTTCAGTATCATTTTCAAGCCAAAGCTTTACCTTTAACAATTTGTATCCAAGACAAGAGTGATACTATTTGGTTCAGTGATGAAAGGGTTTAATTTGTTAATAGGACCTCGTTTAATTCTGAGATTTCAACATTTACAGTATTTACACATCCAATCCTTACTGTTTTTAACATTAAATAACTTGATATTTAACCAGGGGTTTTTTACTGTTTCAGGACATCAACTTAGAAGATGAAGACCTAATGGATTAAACAAATTATTTCCAAACACTGTAATTATTATTTCCATTTATAGTTTGTTATAAGATAAATATATTATTCGACCATTTTGAGTTTTTATTAATTCATTCAGCACTAGTATTCCACAATGTCAGGAAACGGTAAAAAATTAGGCTAGAAATAAAAATAGTTTTTTTTAATAAATAAGTTATTTTATTGTATAAAGATTTTTTAACAATATAAAAATCTATAAAATAATAAATAAAAGATTTACTGTATAGGCCATTTAAAATAGTATAACAAAACTTGCTTACATACATTTTACACTTTTTACAATTTTAGGATTAAATATAAAAATACAACTTACTAAGAACAAAAATCATTTGTCCTATTTTGATGCATCAGCAGTGGATACGTAACATTATATAAAGGTGTAAAGTTTCATAAAAATATAAACTTTGATCTTTTAAGTGTCTACTGAAGCCACAAAAACACGTTGTAGATCAGACCTCCGAACATTTGTTACTAATGTCTACTCCAAGCTTAAATATAGGAAGGAGCTCTTTGCAACTCAAGTGGAGAAAATGTATCATGTACAGTCCTGCTTCGGAAGAGAGTCACCTTGAGCATTTACAATGTTTTTGGTAGACATCTTTCTTAGTGATCTAAAACTTTTTTGTGCATTAGAAATTTTTTATACATAAAAATAGGTATTTAAAATTAATTCCATGGATTTGAAAGTATGGTTTAGAAACTAAGGAACTCCTGCTGCAGGCTGCGGACATAATCAGCTTGTCGGAGGTCTTTGCGAGCCTGATAGAGACGATACAGCGTGGGACAGTCCATCGAAATGCAATCTATGTCACTCATTCGGCCACAGCAAGACTGACAAATCTGGAAAATGAATGTCTTATGCAAAATCTAATTATAAAAATGCCTACCAGTTTATCTAATTGGAATATATGGATCACAAACACAATGTACCAATATTAATAAATACTTTTTGTAATAAACTTGATGCAGCCTTAAAAGACAATGTGTACAAATATACGAATGTTACAAATATGAGCAACTTTGCGACAAAAATAAAAGTGTATAATATGCAATATCTTGTAGGCTATAGGCCTACTAGATTTAAGTACAGCCATAGACAACACTAATACATTTTGACAAATATCACAAGAGTTACTGGTTATGAAAGTGAATCCACCTTTCCTGCACTAGGTCCATGACTAGCAGCGACCAGTTGCTTCTATTAAATGGTCTAGCACTTATACTGTTATTTACAGCAAAGAAGACAAATTGAATTTTTTAATTTCATTTGTCACATTCTTCACTGTTGTACTATCGGACATTTTTACCAGAGGTGTAACTGAGGGAACCACAGTTGAAAAGTCAGGAGTTCAAATTTTACAATGGGATGACAAGTCCACTTATACTATTCAAAATCAATGGCCATACTCATATAAAATGTTTAAACATTGTTTAAGGCTAATAAATGAATTAAACAATTATTTTTATAGGAGTTCTAAATTTCTCACCTTTGTTACCAAAGCCATTTTCCGCTCCCAGTTGAGCACCTGTGTATTCAGGGTGACGCTCAGCTGTTGAGGTTGCAGCAGACACGGGTCGCACACACCGCGCGATGTCATGCACCCGCACGCAACACACCCGCTGGTCACAAAGTACTGTGAGATCGTAGCCTTCTTGCTGCCCACACGCTGACCCTCAACATTGGGGAGGTACACATGCTGCTTGCGAGGAAGCTCAGCGTACCTAGCAGAAATGGTAGTATTAAAAATGTAATTTTTGATATTTACAGTTGATTGGTTGATTGCATACCAAGCAACTAAGGTTAGCACAAATCTGCTGTAAGTGCCTACATTATGCAGCCAACTGCTACAACAAGGACAAATTTTTGATTGCAAGTCATTTACGTATGCTATGTATCTTTTGGTAAAGTGCCTATCATAACAATATTCTTTAGGGTACAAAGCTGGTCTAATGGTAGAGCCTAAGGTCTTCTTTGTCCGGGGTTAAAATTTTATCAATGGCTTTCAGCTATGTTTAATGTCTAGCCTTAGCTTTACACTTAGCCTGAAGTAATGTGTGAAACAGTTCTGAACTAGAGCCTGGTGTCTTATGATGTGAAGGTTGTGCATACTATCTTAACTGAAATGTACCAACCAAGATGTGACATGAGCTCCAAGCAAGGACAGGCAGCGGTCCAGAGGAGGAGCAATCACCCTAGTGATGTAGTACTCTGCGTTGACTCTCAGTCCTGGGTCTAGTAGCAATGCAGACGGGGAACGTACCAGCCGTATAAGGGGTAGACCTGGCGCCCCCGCCACTACCACGTATGGCACTCGCTCTCCCACCCGGGGCTCACTGCGGGGGTCTACAGCACGACCTTGCCTGGGCAGAGATAATCAGTTGAAAGTAGTAACTTCAAAAAGTTTTTCATGAACTTATAATTTTCTTCTGGACCTCTAAAAGTCCTTTCATTGTCTTACATGTTTGCAAAAAGCTATTTAAGATTTAATACGTTCTCTGGTTTACTACCATGTTTTACCATACTTTGCTAAATCAAAAGCTGTGTAATGATACTTATTCAGAAAATAGAATGAAAACTTTTGCTAGGCACTATTATTAAGTATTTGTGCTAATAAGTTATTTTTCTTTGCTTTCAATTAACGGTTGGTTAAGTCAGTTAAGTGTTTCCATTATTCAAATACAGTACTGTTTTTGTATTTTTCAAAATGTGTATTTGTTATGTTATGCAGTAAAACGTCCATTTTAAGTCATGTACATACTACGTTGTATTGATAGTCAAAGATACTACATAAAAGCCTTTGTATGAAGACTCCAAATAATATTTAAAAATTTCAACTTACTTGGCCAATTCTAGGGCAGGCACACAAGCACCGGGACGGTACCCAGCAGCGCCGCGGTACTCTCTGGCGAACGTCAGGTCCTGCACACTGATCCTCCCGGACATCACCTTGGTGAACTGACGACAAACGTAACGCTTCACCAGACTTACGTCCTTCGTCTCAAACAACAGTCTGAGCGTCTTCTCTAACACCTGGCCATAAACAAATAGGCCTAACGTGTCTATTTTGGAGATAACACAATTCATATTTTTTTATAAAAAGATAAAGTAGCCTAAACCAAAATTAGGAAACTTCCAAGCATCCAGTTGTGTTACCTGTTATGATTTATATTGTGATACTCTGTTTATTTCTTATGCTGTAGGTGTTTATACCATTGCAGGCAAAGCCGCGGGTACAAGCTAGTTGCAAATAATCATAGGTTATTTTAATGAATTTTAAAGGGTGAATCATTAGTTGATGTTGAAGTTGAAGTGAACCTTCAAACAGTAATAACAGGGAATCTAGAAACACATTATTCTTTGTCTACTAAACGTATACGGCTACTGTGGTTAAAACTACTACTGTGGTGTTACTACTGTGGTCAAAAACAGCTGGTTTTATAGTCATGTGACCAAAACATTCCACCGCCAAAATCTATTTTGAACTCTCTAGTTTTTCAAACTATGTTTCTCGCTATGCAATAATTGTACAATTATATAATTTTTAAAAGAGGGACTTCTCTTAGGGATAGACTCTGCTTTCCTGCTTGTAAAGGCAGGAGGCGACAATAGTGTTTTTTGTTGTGAATATGAAAACATAATTGATTCACCAAAATCATAAAATAAATATTTAATCAACATTATATTTAGACTAAACTTCAAATGTAAAACCACTTATGACATACTTAAAAGAATTTTTGAAAACATTCTTTATTGCTAGGATTTGTAGCAAAAGTAATTATATTCCAATCATTAATCATTAGCCTATACTTTAAATCAGTATAACTTCCTTCCTTAGATTTGATTTCAGATAAAAATTGTTGACAAGGATTTAAGGATTATAACGATTGTTGTATGATTAAAATATTTTATTTCCAAACAAACAGTAATAGACTAAGGATATTTTAAAATATAAAGATTTTTTAAAATTAAATTCATGTTTTTGGCCCTTGAGCTGTAACGTAACTATAAATAGGCTTTACCTTCGTCAATCCAGCTCAAATGGTGAAACTGCATTGGTCAGACACCCAGTCGGTGTCTTTGCTCGGAACGGAAAATGTCAACCAGTACAGTTTGTACGACAGGCCTGTTGGTTTTTGTAAATTTTATTCATTTAAATGTTTGGGAGTGTTGTGTCTTTTGACTTCAATGACGCTACTTCAGCCGAGATTTTGTGTCTGACGATGGCATTGTGATGCAGAAACGGTTGTAACCAACGCAGTTACACCATTTGAGCTGGATTGACAAAGGTAAAGCCTATTTTAGTTTTTTAATGAATAGAATTCATGTAGAGTATTTTAAAACTGTGTCCATTGCTTACTGAAGACTAGATATATGTGCATTCTGTTAATCTACTTACTTTGGCAACAGCGGGGCAACCATCTCTTCTGACCGTTTCAATTCCTTTGGCATCGTACACTGGCTCTTCTTGATTTGGACTTTCATACATGTAGCCGACATATCTTTTCTTGGTCTGAAACATCAAATATGTTGGGCTATGTAATAATATTGTTATTTTAAGTATGAGTATGTATTTGTCATTATAACAAATGAAATAACAACGAAAGCAGACCTAAAACAGCCCAAAACATCTCAAAACTGAAAGTGTTATTACATCAACTGAGACTAGTGATTTATGTAAATGATGGGGATGCCAAAGTTTACCTAAGTAGATAATTTAATACATTATGTGAATGTAGTTTTTTTTTTATTGACTAAATTCTAACACTACTCCTCCGATAATAATGGACAGATTTTTACAAACGATGTGTCAAAATTAAGTATTTTTTGTGAAGACGCCCCTTTTCAGCAATTCCTTGAATAAAAGTCTTCGGGCTTTGCCCCACGGGCCATCAAAATCCCAATGTATTTCTTGTGAAGAAAAGATTTTGTTTACTTAAACAGACGAATAATTTGTATTAATTACAGCTGATAATAGTAAACACACATGAAACACACAAGAGCATTCGTTTTCAGAGTGAGTTTTTTTCCTGTTTCGATAACTGGAATGGAGTGATTGATTAAATTATCTTTGAGTTGACTCTTTTAAGTCATCGGACATTGTGACTCTTATTTGTTTTGAAATACAACGCCTGTAATACTTTGCAATTGCTCGAATTCAAGCAAGAGGTGCACTAGTTATTTTTATATTTAATACGCTAGGCATATTTTTGTCATAATTGTTTTGGAGTGGTGGTGCTACCAATCACCATGACCAAGATGTCGTTAGAAAGGTCTTAGCATGTAGTTTTGCCATCAAACAAAAAAACTTTGGAATTCCATCAGGGCTCTGCCCCAGTGGCCTTCAAAGTTCCCATGTTATTCTTAGGGAGAAAATGTTTGTTTACATTTAAACAGATGAATACTTTGAAATTGACACTAATATTTGAAACAGCTGGTTATACTCAAATTTTGCACAAAATCAAAACATAGCCTAACAAAAAAAACGTTCAACATAATAGAGACTATAAGACGTTGACCAGGACGGCCAATAGGAGGAGGCCGACGAACTTTAACTGGTAGACGCGAACGAAATACAAATAATACTATTGTCGTTGATAGCCGAATACAGCAAGCACCCTTCCGTGTTTAACCTTTCCGTGGGTTTAAGTGTCCTCTCCAACAGCCGCCTGAAGATTTCACATTCAATTTAGGACTGTTGGATAGTCGTTGCATAAGCTGTTGATTTTGGAAGACAAGGGAGGCGGGTAGGAGTACATCGGAAACTGAAAAGAGGAGATATTAAATGAGTGGCAAATGCGTTGGGAGCAGAGTGTTTTATGTTAATGTTTTAAAGGTAAACGTTCGGATATATACCTAACATCAGAAACAGACTGGAACATGATTGGGAGATGGGCCATTATGAAACACAGTTTGTCACAGGACATGGGAAATTTCAAGGTGAATTTGTGAAGATTGCACATAGTGGAAGAGGAAGTATGTAGATGTGGAGAAATAAAAACCACGAGTCACGTATTTATAAATTGTTCACTTCAGGAGACAAATAGGAGAGAACAGGAATAAGTCTTGGATAAGAGAGGTCTAGAGATGAGAAAATAAAACATGATGAGTGACAAGGAAACAATTTAGATGTTTAGAAAAGTAGTTAGGGAAATAGAAAAAACCAGGGATACATACAGGGGTTAAAATTTAAAAAAAGAAACAAACAAAAACTTAAGAAAGAAAAGGAATGAAAACTTGCACTTGAAGGGGAGAGGAAAAGGTTATAGCGAATCTCAATGATCCCTATCGCTGAGGGCGGTATGGGGAAGGGAGTCGTGCTGTTAGGCTTTTGGACACATAATGTGTCTGGAAACCTAATGCGGCTATGAGTAAGGCTATTTGTAGAAAACACTATTTACAATAAATGTTGATTATATCAATCTGTTATGTACATCTTGAGTGTTTCCATAATTTTTTAGTTGAATATTTTAAAGTCATCAGAAATTATGACTCTTATTCGTTTTAAAATAACGCCTGTAATACTTAGCAATTGCTTGAATTCGAGCAACAGGTACACTAGTTATAGTTATTTGAATACAATATAAATATTTACTTAAATTATTTTACACTAATTAACTGCAAGGTATTTTGTCCTAGTGTAGGTCCTTTTCAGAGTGTAGTTTGAAAAAAAAGGAAGAAACATTTTTCATTAATCTACTCAAAAGTATTTCTATAATCAACAAAATAAGACACAGTCTTTTTTATTACATTTGGGCTTCTGGACATTTTTCTAAGGAAGGTTATCTGAAGGAAGTCTTTCTCACTTTCTAAAAAAAGACCCTGTTTAATTAGCCACTTGTTTCCCCTTTATTATATAAACTTAAGTAAAAACACCTTCATTTATCATACGCAAAATCGTAAAGAATATTTTTATTTATTTTGATGCACTATGCACTACTTCGGTTACACCTAAATAGATAAATGAAATGATAAGTCAACTTCATCAGTAGGCCTAAATCTAAAAAGAAATTTATCATTCATCAAGTTTTCCTATCAAGGTTATCTTTACCTGTAGCAAGCAAGGTTGATAAACCTTCTCCAACTTGAGTTTGACAGGTTGAGGGTTGTCGTTTGTCACAGCTTCAGCAATCTCCGCGCCGATTCGGAAAGCTTCCTGTCGAGACTTGCCGGGCACCAGCACAAACATGGAGTCTGTATCGCCGTAAATGACTCGTGCTCCCCACTGATTGTTGTTGCTGACTAGACTGATGGCTCTCTCCAACGTTTCTCTCGCTTTGCTCACCACACTGTCTCCCAACTACAAAGTGCAAATGTTTAAATGACTCGATATTTTACACAATGTATTAAATACTCGTAATTTTATAAATTCCTCTGAATATATATACAATGAAATGCAAACAATTCATGTGAGTCGGTAGTGCAACTGACTGTGAAACCCAAGTCAGTGATGTCATGATAGCGTCTTAGTGCTACCATTTAAAATTTATCAGTACAATTTATTCTTGTGCTGTAGTAGCTCACCCTTTGTTTTGCTTCATACACATTCCCGTATTGGCCACTGAGGCCCATGTGGACGGACAAATTAAAAGTTGAAAGATTCCGTTAACCTCAATTAACACACTCTTGTCTGCAGAAACTCTTCCCCAAGATACTGTATGTACGGTAATGTGAGCAGCTTGATTCATAGCCTGTTTAAATTGTCACCAGGCCATCAAGAAGAGAGTTCTCCAAATTATTAAGTACAGTACAACCTAGTGATCACAAGTTTATGAATCAGAGAGTGGATGTGTTATGAAGCATTAAAACAGTGTGGTAGCTACAGTTTACACTCTAAAGACTGTTGGCTGTGACTCAAGATCTACACAGTTATCCAGATCACTTTACTGTATCATTTTCCTTGGGTTGTTAATTAAGTACCAACCTCAATGCAAGGCATCCTCCCAGAGAAGTTTGCAGCCGTGTATCCATACGTTACGTTGGCAATCAACTTTAGACCCAGCTGGCGATTGTGCAGCACTCTCTGTAGCGTCTTGTTCTCTTTGTTTTCTTTCATTGACTGTTTAACCTGTAAAACATATTAAAAGTTTACTAAATGAATGATGGAATGGCCACTGAACTGTCCAAATTAATGTATAGTGCTTTATGTTACCTTGATACTGCCCAAAACGATCCTTTCTAGTTTGTTATGACTACAGCTGTTTCGTCAAGTATTCATTAAATATTCCTCGTGGTGGAGTTCCTCAAGAGTTTGATAGTATATGTAAATAACACGACACATAACACAAATAAATGCAACGGAACATTTAGCACTGGTCAACAGTAGGGGTCTGCGGTACAGAAAATTTAAGGTCGGTACGGTTCGGTACGGTACAATATTTTGTACCTCGGTTCTCGGTACATAATCGGTACGGTACGCGGCTACCCGTATTTTTGCGTTTTCTTCTCAGAACTGTATTAAAACCATTATTTTTAACTATAATACATTGACATTACTATGCCACTTCTATATATAGACTCGCCGTTGACGTCACCACCTGGGGATTCCCCAGTCCCGTGACCGCGAACTTGGCTCTTGGGGCAGTGTCCGTAAAACTGTTTAAAAACGCTTATATCTCGAAAACGGCTTGAGATACGGCAAAACGGTTGAAATTCTGGCACACATAGTGGGTGTCAACTTTTGATTATAAACAATATTACAACATTAAAAAATCAAAAGTAAAAAAAAATTTAACATTATTTTATATGGGTAGGCTACAAATAAAAGTTACCATGAAAAATCGTCTAAGTCCGTAAACTGTCTAAAAACGCTTATATCTCGAAAACGGCTTGAGATACGGCAAAACGGTTGAAATTCTGGCACATATAGTGGGTGTCAACTTTTGATTATAAACAATATTACAACATTAAAAAATCAAAAAGTAAAAAAAAAAATTAACATTATTTTATATGGGTAGGCTACAAATAAAAGTTACCATGAAAAATCGTCTAAGTCCGTAAACTGTCTAAAAACGCTTATATCTCGAAAACGGCTTGAGATACGGCAAAACGGTTGAAATTCTGGCACACATAGTGGGTGTCAACTTTTGATTATAAACAATATTACAACATTAAAAAATCAAAAAGTAAAAAAAAATTAACATTATTTTATATGGGTAGCGCGTAATTAGGAAACTAAAAAACATTTTTAAGCCTTAAACAGCCACATCTAACAATGTAAGACAAGATACAGAACATGCAATGACATAATTTGAGACCGAGTAGGCTTGCATAACAATGAAAAAAAATTATGCAAACAACAAATATGCTTGTGGTTTCTCAATAGAAAGATAAAATATTTATAACAAATATTTTAACTTATAAATAAGATTGTAGATTAGATTGGTTACAAGTTTAATATGTAGCACCTAACAGTTTTATGGCAGTAGGCAATGCCAGCGGCAAATTGAATATTCACGAAAATACTGACTGAGTTAGAGATAACATTTAACAGTCATCATAAAACTATTATTTTTATGATAAAATAGAATTGGTGAAAGTCGTAAAGATATAAAAGTGATAAAACTCAACAGTTCTTGGAAGCGTGATAAAATGTTAATGGATTTGGGACTGCTAATGGGTTTTTTATTGCATCATCACCCCAGTAATAAATTATGAAGATCGTAAACAAACATCTGATAAGACTTTTATGTGCGGTCATTGACTGAAAGTAATTTATTATCATAATAGGCTGTACCGAACCGAATTTGTACCGTGTAAAATGCTGTACCGAACCGATGACGGTAATTAAGCTTGTACCGTACCGTACCGACTTTTTCGGTGCACCGCAGACCCCTAGTCAACAGTAATGCAACACGTGGTACGACATCGGTTGAGGGTAAGTCGTGACTGTCACATGTCGTTGAGCAGGGGCGGGAGTCGACGCTGACGACCCGTGACAGTCGTGACTTGTCCTCAACCGCTGCCGTACCACGTGTTTTTTTACCGTCTGGTTGACCATTGCTAAATGTTTTGTTTTGTGTTTTTGTGCTATGTGTCATGTCCATGTTATTTATATAGTATTGAACTTTTCACAAACTACACCATGAGGAATATTCAATGACTACTTGACATTATTCAGACCTGATGATGTGCTCCATCCAAAGCACAAAACAACTGTAGTCATCACAAACTACAAAGGATCGTTTTGCACAGTAACAAGGTAACATAAACCACTATACGTTTACTGAATGAAATTCACTATTCAGTCACATAGATGAGTAGCTTTGAATGACACTAATGATGTTTTGAAGCACAGAAGAGATTTATTGATCAAAGTAGCGCAAGAATGCGCCTTATACTAATGACAATGTAACAGCTAACCATTAGCCTGGTGTTGAGAATCTCCTGCAACATACGAGGCATTACTCCTCTCACTACGGACTGGTTGATGAACGCCACTCCGCACGGGGAGAAGTTCAAACTGCCCTTTAGTCTCAACAGCTCTCTGACCGGCACACGCAGCTGGGTACAGCCAAACTCAAACAGCTCAGATCTGCAGCAGAAGTTGTAAAGCTGTGATATTATGATAGTAGTATGTTTATGATTTGGGCACTACTATCCCTCAACTAGGAAATATTAAGATAATTTCGATCAACTGTAGGAAACGTTACACTTCCACAATTGTTATAGAATAGAAACAACACTTAATTGTACTAACTAGTTTTGTAAAACTCTATATTGGTTGAATCCTTGATCAGTTGTGTGAAAAAGAAAAAAAAATAACCTGTCACAGCAAACCTGCACACTAAGCGAATTCCATTTGCCTAGCTGGATTTCCACTAAAATATTCCAATTATTTAGCATGTTTCTCTTCTACCTTAACATACATGCCAAGATGAAAAAATGTGCGGGTGTAGTGAAATATAAGAAATGAAAAATCGAGGGTTTTGATACATGAGGTGATTCGCGATGAATGAATGCAACAATTGAGATTTACATATGGTCATGTGATATAAAGACATTTAAATTCATACAAATTTACTAAGGCAACTCCTGATTGAACATACCACCTGCCCCTTTAAACCAACACAATAAGGGGCCAACAAAACAAATAGGGTAGAAATAAAATATTTATAAGTTAATTTAAGATAATTATAAAGAGGGGGCGTGAAATTTTTTATAGAACACATTTTAAGGAGTTAAATGTAAGCTGCTGCATAAGATTATCTCTCACCGTCCTAGATGTTCCACTCTGCCCAGGCAAGTTGAGTAGCAGTAGTTGTATGCAATGATGATCGAGGGATACAAGCTTTGGAAGTCCAGAACTATAACTGGATCTGTGTAAAATCTGCAAGTGGAAGTGTACAAATCATTGATAACTGCTCAACTTGAAAACTGCGCACAAAATTGAAAGTATCTCTAAAACTATTGATTTAGCAAGCCAAACTTTTGAATTTTAACAAATTATTGACATAAAACAGCTAAAATTAGAGCATAGTCAGTTAATAAATACAATATAGCTAACTAGACAAAATGAAACATGTTACAATACATATATTAAATATTTCAAATGAATAATCTTATTCTTAAGAAAATCCGAAGTATTTAAGTGAAAAAGTCAAATATTTAGTTTGTTTGCCGTTACTATTTTTTTTTTTACAAACAGTCGACTTGTAAAATATTGTAAAATGTTAACACCCGTGTAGCAGAAAACCTGCAAACAGTTCTTGAGCCCTATATTTGATGTTTTCTAGTTAATTTGATTTACAAATTACCGTTGTCTTTGCACAAGAACATGACATTATCACATAGCAAGCCAATTGTGACTGGCAGTAATTGAACCCTTTGCATTCAAGACAGAAGTCCCGTGCTCTAACCACTAGACCATTGAGACATACCTAGACTGAGGTTCCATTATGAGAGGTAGACTCTCCGGAGCCCTCATCCTTGCTCTCTGTTGCACACTTGGACTGACGGCCACGTAGTTTAACGGCTTGACAAGTCGGAGCATCATAGACTCTACCCTGAACTGTAACAACAAAATATCCTTCCTTTACAACCTAATCCAGGGTGCTAATTTTCAGCTTGGAATCGTTCTACACATTACTTGAAGCTAGTCCAAGAGGATCCCTGCATTATCACATAGATAAAGCTGGTGGTTACTGATTAGTATGATTTGAACAAGGGACCTTGGAGACAAAGCCCTGCACTATATCTCTAGACTAGCTTGTGTGGTGTTGATATACCAGTGCCTAACCTCACACACTACAGTCTATATCCTGGGTTAATCCTGACCTTTGTGAGGTTGTCAGATTTCTTTTGAATAAGTTGCCTTTGAACATTTCATTTTGTAGAGTTTATTTGATAGGGAAAAGTGTCTCGTGGCACTACAATGCTATTTTCCACCTAATATTGACGTTTTGGATTACTCTTGCCCTAATAATACTATTAATTAAATTGGTCTATTAGACTTTGTTAAAGCAATAAACAACTAAAACTAAGCAATACAAGCCACTAATAGTGAAACAAATCAGTACAAACCTGAGAGCCTCGTGAAAGAACTTCGTAAAACTGGATTCCAAACAGTCGAGCAAACTCACTAGTTCGGCCAACAAGGTCCACGTGTCGCATCAGTTTCGCTGTCCCCTCCACTCGCGTGATGTAGTGGTCCAACACCAACCACCTGCAAAGAATAGTGAACAGATATTGGTAGAACAATATCAATATCTTACAATACCAGGTTCAAGGTCCAGCATATGCCATAGCATTGAGGGAACAATCCATCAAGTGGTTTCTTTACATTGAATGTGCAAAGTTGATCTATGAAACGCACTGATCAAATCTCAAAACCTAAACTTTGCTAATTTTAAGGCAAATTTCTACTCAAAACTCCAAATCAGCGGGAGTTTACTGTAATATTTCTTGGTGATTTGTTGTTGAATAACTGACCTGTAGAGTTTGGTCCTGTGAGCCCACCACGAGGCGAGGGTACCAAAGGAGAACAAAGGAACTCTCTGATGAAGCACATGATACATCATATTTTCAAATGTGTAACTCTGAAGAGCAACCTGGAAATTGTACAATGATGGAATTAAATGAGTTGCTAAACCAGTTGTTCACAATAAGGTGAGGAGGGAAAATAAAATAAGGTGGTTGTTTAAATTTACTTTAGAAAACAGATGCAACTTCACTGCTGATAAATAAACAAAACTCAACTAACTATCCTAAGAAGTTTTGGAACAATTCTCTTTGATGAATCGAGTCAGCTGTGGCTTACAAAAGCATTAGTAACTTTCACAAAATGTAAACAAAGTAAAGTAAAAAATGTTTACAAAATGTAAACATTGTTTTTTTAGATTTTTTTAGGGGGGGGGATTTCTAAGAAGACCAATCAATATTTACTTTCAAAAGCTTTGCCTTAAGGTTTTGGTCGTCAGCAATGTAAATCTTAGGAAATGAATTGGCCTATGTCCTATGTGCGTATGGCTATAGGTCTGGGTTATCTAGATTTTATTGAAATTTCAGCTCAGATTTAAAAATGTTATAGATAGCTGGTCCCACAAACTACTGTGACAAAAGTACTTTTTCTTTCCAAAACTTAAGCCATTGACTTTTGGACCCTGAAGTAGACATCTCATATATATATGGATCAGCTTTAACCAATCGTGTATACCAAGAGAACATACTGAAAGTTAATTGAGACATTCACTAAGTGTGCTGCAGTATACACAGTTAAATTTCCTTTCTTAGTTTTTGTAATATTTAGTTTGACTTTGTTAAAAATTTTACTTATTCAACAAAAATCATTAATTGACAAAAGGGGGTAGCGGATTTTTATCCCCCTGGAATTTTACCCCCTGGGCGAACGTGACGTCACAAACCAGGGGGTAATAATTCCATTGACTTTTGGACCCTGAAGTAGACATCGCATATATATATGGATCAGCTGTAACCAATCGTGTATACCAAGAGAACATACTGAAAGTTAATTGAGACATTCACTAAGTGTGCTGCAGTATACACAGTTAAATTTCCTTTCTTAGTTTTTGTAATATTTAGTTTGGCTTTGTTAAAAATTTTACTTATTCAACAAAAATCATTAATTGACAACAGGGGGTAGCGGATTTTTATCCCCCTGGAATTTTACCCCCTGGGCGAACGTGACGTCACAAACCAGGGGGTAATAATTCCATTGACTTTTGGACCCTGAAGTAGACATCTCATATATATATGGATCAGCTGTAACCAATCGTGTATACCAAGAGAACATACTGAAAGTTAATTGAGACATTCACTAAGTGTGCTGCAGTATACACAGTTAAATTTCCTTTCTTAGTTTTTGTAATATTTAGTTTGGCTTTGTTAAAAATTTTACTTATTCAACAAAAATCATTAATTGACAACAGGGGGTAGCGGATTTTTATCCCCCTGGAATTTTACCCCCTGGGCGAACGTGACGTCACAAACCAGGGGGTAATAATTCCGGCCGCGAACTTTTGAGTTTCGCGACAACAGTTTGATGGATTAAACGCGGAATTAAACGTATCTTTTCACGGTTGTGAATTTAATCAGAACACATCAAATTATAAAACCTAGTGTGTACGGGCCGGAATTTTACCGCCGGACTTTTACCCCCTCATGAGGTCAGCTCAAAATGTACAGCTGGGATTTTTACCCCCGGATTTTTACACCCGGAATTTTACCCCCTGGCCAGATATATAAATTAGTAAGAAGGCCTAATTATCTTAATTCAGTTTTAATTTAATAGTAAACATTTTATTATTAAGTAGCCTATCTTAATTTATTTATAACATCAACTAATCAAACAGGTTTTTAATTTTAATTTTGAGATTCGAGTATCAGGATTCGATCTTTGAAGCTAACTGTTGGTTAATATGACGTGTAAACAAACATCAGAATGGTAATTGATTCGAAGATTTCTTTAACGATTTATTATACAAACGTGGTAAATAATGTTTTTTGTTTGTATTGTAACAATAACAAAATATGCCTTATTGTTTCTTTACAAAGGAATAATCAACCAATTATCATTTAAATAAGCTACTCAGTTTATTTTACATACTTATTAACCAACAGTTGGCCCCAGACGCAAATCCCGAACATCAAAATTAAGCAGCGAATTCTGTTTACTTAGAAGTGATTACAAAAAAAGGCTACTTAATAATAACATGTTTGCAATTAAATAAAAACAGAAAAAGGAAAATCAATCATTCTTAAGAATTTCTATACCCAGCCAGGGGGTAAAATTCCGGGGGGGGTAAAAATCCGGGGGTAAAACTCCGGGGGGTAAACATCCGGGGGTAAAATTCCAGGGGTAAAAATCTGGGGGAAATATTCGGCCCGTACATCTTCAGTTGTCTAAACGTTAGTTATATGGACAGGGGGTGAAATTCTGGTTTTTATTGCTAATCTAATTAATCAGGCTCTGTCTATTTTCATTAGACTTCCAAATCCGCGGGGGTAAAATTCCGCCCGCGAACAAATTTTGAGCGCTCAGGTTACTACGTCATAGTGACGTCAGCTTTGCCCAGGGGGTAAAATTCCAGGGGGATAAAATTCCGGCGACCCGACAACAGCACTATTGGTGATACAACTCGCAGGTTCCTTTAATTTTAAAACTGACAAAAACTTTAACATGGGAATTGAGTATCTAGTTCCATGCACATGCAAAGCTTAAACTCATTAACTGTCATTAAAAATATTGTTTTATATTATTAGCTATACATTACTGACCTCATGTCTCAAGAATCGCCACAAGTTGAGTACGATACGTCCTGTCAGGCGTATCTCTGAGTCATCATCGCTCACTTGCTTCGCCTCACTCTCTGCGCGCCCCTCAAATGGTCGACTTACCCTCGACAGCTCGACCACAAGATTCAGGTTGAGGACGTAGGCTCGCTGCAGTAGGTAGCCCCAAGATAACAGCTCTATCTGGTAACAAGGAAGTTTGTTAGCGTTGGAATATTTTGAACTCAAAGATTATTTTGTTTTCACATTTTTTGTATAGTTTATTTACATAAAATATAGCTGAAAGACCATGCATTTTGTTAGAATCAATGTCAATATCAGGATTCAAAGTCAGTTCTGACAGTAAAGGCATAGTGGCATGTTAATAGACATTAAAAGTGGGATGAAAGTTGTAGAGAGAGAATTCATAATCTGAAATCTTAAAATAAATACCATAGTTGCTTTTGCTTTGTTGCTTATTTCTAGTATGATATAAATACCTACAATCAAACTCTACTCCTCACCTCATAGCCGACAAATATATCAGGATCCCATTTCCTGACAAGAGCTACAAAAGCTGCAATCAGTGAAGGTTCATCGGCTACAGCATGAAGCTGACATCGAAACTGGGGCATCTTCTCCTCTTTACCATTGTCTTTGACATAAATAACACCTAAAGAAACATAAAAAAAATATAACACTATTAACAAATAACCACAATTTAGTTGTGTGGAAGCAAATTTTTTAAGTTTAAGTCAAATGTGTTTTAGTTTAAAGTAGATTTGAATGATAAGTAAGTTTTTCAAAGAAATGTGTGTTCTGAGGATGTGAACCAATTGGGATGTGTGAATATCTAACTCTGATTGCAACCCTGAATTATCTAGAGCCTACAGAGCTCGGTTCTCCCCTCCCCAAGAGACATACATTCACAAGAAGTGATCAAATACTAAGATTTAGCAAATTTTAAGGTGTTTGTAAAAGTTTCCTGATCAAATCACTCTCAAACAATTGCCGGATTTCTTAGTGAATGTATAGTGATAAGATGGTGGTATTGTTAAGTTTTCAATAATGATAAAAAAAACTCATCCAAACTTTCAGGCCAAACACACGTTTTAAGAAGCTCATGGCAGATTACACTATGCCATTGCACTATAAATGTTTCTTTAGCGATATAAACCTTGGGGCCAATTATTTTTGAATTACAAATCACTCCATCAACAGAGAATGAACGCTTTTAAGAGAAAGCAGTCCAAATCACTTAAATTTCTTTGTGATATCCCCAAGTATCAGATCCGTCTCTTGCACCACAAGACCAACCACTAGGCTAGCAACACATTGAATTAATTATACCAAAGTATATACACACCAGTTATGTTTGCTATCGAGGTATCTGGACAGTCGTTAGTGATGTTGTAGAAGACACAGCATATAGCGTCATGATCAGGATTAGGCTTCAACTCTCCTCTAGTGTGAATATGCAGCTCCATGCTGAGTATCGTCAGAAACTGGTGCTGAGGAAAATCACTTGTTGGTTATCCACATTTAAGATATATGGTTTAATCTGAACAAGGTAAGCAGCAATTCAAGTGTCAGAAGGCAAGAGCTAATTAGTAATAGCCTTTTATTCATGGGACGATCTTTTCTTGTTCACACTTATCCTCCACAAGTATTGGGCTGATTTCTATGTTCATGGACACAAAATAAAATCATTTTAACATTGTATTGTAAAGTGAATGAACAAAATTTATAATATTTTTACCCTAAAGATCGTGAAACTTCCTTTATGTTTTAACCACTACAGATGCGCTCTGGCCACTTGATGTAGTGGTAAACATAATAAACATAATGTGGTATTCATCGTCTCACCATATATTGGTTTTATTTCAAATTGACCAGCCTTGACACCTTAAATATTTTTACTATGGATAATAATCTACTTACGTATACCACAAGGTTTCAATTATTGTAGATATTAATCACGCTGTACATGTTTTGAGCCTATACACGGCTCATCTCCAGCAGCATTATTGTATGTAAAATTTATCACATTGAGAGATGATTGTCAACTATTTACAGGAAACACACACACATATAGAAATGAACATTGACAGTTTTAGCTTGCTATTTACACGTGTTTGCATAGTGTAAGCTCAATTTGATAAACCTTGACCGGACGACATTTGTAGCATAGACAAAAAGAATTAAATATAGACCGTCAGCTGTGCTGCGGTTACCATAGGTTCTGGCGCACATGGCTGGGAGCGCCATATTACGTAGCGAGTAGGCCGTAGCTAAACGGCGCTCCCAGTAATGTGCGCCAGAACCTATGGTAACCATGGTAACCACTGCACGGCTGACAGTCTATATTTAATTCTTTTTGTCTATGTTTGTAGGCCTACTGAGGAACACGAAAACGGGAGAGTGACGTCACGGTATCAGCTGATTGGTGGTTCTCATTTCCAGTTTTGTTATCTACATCGCAATACGGCTGATAGGTGATCTTGTCCGAATATTCCTCTCTTATATTTAACATGGTGTCATTGCCATGTAATTTTAAGAATGGATTAAAGGACTCTGCAATGAAACCATGGTAAATACAAGAGAGGAATATTCGGACAAGATCATGAATATGTATATGTTATATGCCCGCTAGAAGTTAAAAGGAATTCATAAACGTATCCATTGGCCATAAAATTAAAGGTCTTTATTAGTAGAATATAATGCCACAAATTTGAGCTCAAAAGAACAACAGTATAAAATGGCAGCCGTTCAAAGATTCAAAATGGCAGAATCAAGAAATCATTGAATGGCTGTCATTTATGACTCGGTTGTCCATATGTATTCATTGTATTGATAGTAAAGACCTTTAATTTGATGTGCATATCAACCTATACAAAATCAACCTATGCTTACATTTAAAATTTTCTTCCGACTCCAAGTGGGCCGTCCCCCTGAAGAGATAGTGTATCACTGAATCATTTGTTAAAATGATGTTAATGCCCAGTGACTGTGTACCAAGTTTTAAAGCTCTATATTTATTACTTTTTTTAGTATTTAACGGTTGCAGGACTTTTTTTCCACCCTGTATAAAGGTTTATAAGTAATGATCAATTTCGATTGGACACTCCAAGGCGAACATTCGGATGTTAAAATTACTAAATTACAAGTTTACATTTACAACTTACTTCTTGTACTAGTTTGACATCCTGTAGATTCTCCAACTCCAGTCGATAGTTCCCAGAGTTGTCTGGAGTCACAGCATCTATCTGGCAACTCATGGACGCTGGACTGACGTGTCCTGAAAGTAACCTTTGTATCCCTGAATCTGACATCAGCTTAGTACTGTCAGATACTGAGACTGAGGCTGTCTAGAAATATGCAACGGAAAGTCACAGAAGGTAGAAATCAAATCAGCTGTTTTATGTTTCCAACAACAATTTGTAGCATATCCTACTAATATTATAAATGAGAAAGTTTGGATGTATGGATGTATGGATGTATGTATATATGTTTGTGACAAGTAAACGCAAAAAATACTGGTCGGATCGGGCTGAAATTTGGTGTGATGATAGTTCACATTCCCGATTAACATGTAGACGCATTCTTATCTCAAAAGTCCTTTCGGGCTCCTCCCCAGTGGCCCTGGAGTTTCCCATGTTAACCTTATGAGTAATCATATTTAAAAGGAATAAAATAATTTTGTCAGCTGTTTCAACTACACAAGTTGGTTCTATGATATTAAATAGCAGTAAAAGGTTATAAGGTTTACCAACAGGGTGCAGTACTATTAACTTTTTTGCATTTTGTGTCCTCTTCCCGTTGCAAAGCACGGGTACAACAGCTAGTAATGTCATAGATTTAACATGCTCGCTTTTATATATACAAAGTGCTCTGTGAGTAAAAAGCCAAACTCCAGGAAAGAGTTCTATTGGTCGAAATAAAGAGAAAATCAAGATTAACATTTTTCCCAAAAACGCTTCGTTAACCAGATATCCGCCATTTTTTACATAAACATTTTAAACTTTTAACCAATCTTTATGAAACAAGGTATAAATGTTTAGTAAATATAGCCTATGTAAGAAAAAAATATTAAGTTGATCCAATTTGAAATTTTAAAATGGCGGCCACTTTAATTTTGTAACTTTAATTACCAAAAATAAGCCAACTTGGTGAAAAAATGTCAAGAACTCAAGAACACTTTTCATTAGCATTTAGTTAGAATTTCCTATCAAATCACACCAAGTTCAAAATTATTAAGTAACAGATAGCTAAAATATGACGATTTCAGTTGTAAATTAAGGTAGAATTAGGCTACCTAAGCTGTTCAGGGTGGTGCTCATTTTGTCTTACGGTCATTTTGAACTTGGTGTCATTTGATAGGAAATTTCAATCGCTACCAGTGTATAAAAGTGTTCTTGATTTTTCTTCATAAAATTGGACATTTGTTGGTAATTTAGGTTAAAAAAATTAAAGTGGCCGTTATTTTGAAATTTAAAATTAGACCAACCAAACATTTTTTTCTGACACAAAAACGTTCACCTTAAATACCAAGGTTCATAAAAATCGGTAGGAAAAATTTAAAGATAAAGAATTTTTTTTTAAATGGCGTACATCTGGTTAACATAGAGTTTTTGGGAAAGATGTCATTCTTGATTCCTCTTTATTTTGACCCATAGAACCCTTACCAGGTGTTTGCTGTTTACTTACCGGATACCCTATATATATCATCCCAGCTAAGACAAATTATAGGTTTGTTTTGATACTGTTAAGTAGTGTTGTTTTCTATTTATTTATCATTATTTCAAAAACTGCTAAAAGCTTAAACTGTAAAATTTTCATTGATTAAGAAAACATTAGTGCACTCGAGAGTATGTACATCAAACTGAGTGTTTACAACAGAATAAGACCTCTACTGGCTAAACTAGTATCTAAACTCAATGAAAAAATATTATGTCGAGCATATACAAGGTTAAGAAAAAGTGTGATTTGATTGGTAAAAATTGTACCCTCAAAAACAAATCCAAAAAGATTTCAACGAAATTATTTAACACATCAATCGGTTCATTATGATTTTTATGGATGACTCAGTGTCAATGTTGGAAGTATGGTGAGCAAAACTAATAAAACACAAATAGATTACCTGAGAGTTTACATCATGGTGAAGTTTTTTTTCAAGATTCAGATTTTCTTCCTTGATTAATGGCAAGGATTTTCGAAATCCCGAGGAAGGCCGAGAAAATCTTCTTTTGGACACAGATGATGTCGACGGATTATTTACAGGTGTGCTTGCCATCAAAGGACTCGTTTTAGAGGTGTTGCTCAAAACTACTTCAGGCGTGGCTTCTGATTGAACATTGCTTGAGTCAGAATCGACGGATGTTTTAGAAAGCGGTGTACACTGAGAAATCGTCAAGCTATTATCTGTGTCGTCATCGCCGTCAACAGAGTTCCCTGGACTTGAAGGTAAAGTAATTTTCACACTTTTCCTAACCTCTGGAACTTCTACGTTTTTCTTTACTACTTTTGTTTTCAACCACTCTTTTGCCTGCATTCGTGACGGTGGTGGTTTCAAAGGTGTTATAATTAACGCTCTATTAGATCTTGATGGTGATGAACCTTTGTAACACATTTTCGATGATTCCTTCCTCCATTTGGTGATAGAACCAAAAGTTCCTTCAAATTCTTCCATGTGAACAACCGATTTGCTTTGCAGCTTTAACAAAGTGCTTCCGACTTCGCACGCTTTGGAAACATCACCTGGGTCACTGTAGAACGGTTCTTCATTCACTACTTCAGGTAAACCGTAATCTCTCAGTTTAGCTAACACTTCTGATCGTGATGGTGCATAAAAGGCTGGTGTGAATATTGTGAGGTTTTCCAAACAGTGAGGATCTCCATCTATATCTTCGAGGCTTGTGTTTTCTGAACCACATTCAGAAAGATTGAGAGTGAGAATTGTGTTATCTAGCGAGGGCGGGATTATCATCTCATCTCTCTCGTAGTCTGGTGTGTTACTTTTGGTCATGCCTGATAACCTAAAAAAGTCAGATGAAGTTTCGCTATGGTTGGACAGTGCGGGAGGACTTTCTGGAGTACTACTAGCCTCAAATATATCCGTACTTATTTTACGTTCTGTTATTTGCTTTCTTTTAGGCACCGAAGCACTAGGAATGTCCCGATGCGTTTCTTCTTGCACAGGAAAGTTAAGAGATTTTCTTACTTTAGTCCCTTTGTCCGTCAAAGGAGTATTTACTTCAACATATTTGCTTCTGGATACAATTAATGAACCGTTAGACTCAAGGTTCGTCTTTTTAGATCTGGTTTTCTCTCTGAAATAGAAAAGGGTTCGAATGAATTTCTCAACTTTTAATATTGCTTTTAGGGTTAAAAAAACTCCTTGTTTGATTTTTATAGCCACAGAACGAAAAATATCTCTCTGTTATGTGTATCTATCTGTTTTTAATGCATCTTGAACCCATGGTGAACATTGCTCAATAAAAAAGTGGAATCATTTTCTCACTTTTGACTTTTTACGAACTGTCTATAAGCTGATATTGTTCATCTTTCAAATCTTACCATCATTATTTTTTACTGATATCCTGGAACCCCTTAAAGGATTAGTGATGCGAAATCATTTTCCAATTTTTTAATTTTGACAACTCAATTCTCTCTCAAGTTTTGAGCATTAAAAATTATTTAGGTTGTGTCAATGTTTTAATTTAAAGAGTGACTTGTGTTGTTTTTTTCAAGTTGGTCTTCCACAAATAGAAATATTTCAATTGTTACAATATTAGTGTTTTATGAGGTGTTATCCATTAAAAGCAGGTCAAAATGTGACTATTTTATGAGAAATCTGCAGATTTAAGCTACATGAAAGGAATTGATATATGTAATGTTGTTTGAGACCCCACTACCAAATCAACGAACAAAGAAAAATGGATCCAAAATATCGATATGTCCATGGTGTACTTCAGCATAAGCAAGACTAGTAAAAAATAGCAAGATGTGAACAAATTGAATGCTTAAAGGTACCTAGGAGCATCGCCGGTTTGGTACTTGTAAATTATTGCAACATTTTAAAATTTTAAACCTTTTCTTGTACACATAATTTCTGAAAATTCATTTTGTATTCTCCATTTGTATTTTTATTCAATGAATATTGAATATTAAGATCCTTGAAGTACATATTTTACCCGTAACTAATGAGATAGGCATACAACATTCATATTTAATTTTTTCACCTAATTTACTTTTCAAATAAACTTTGATCAACATACACCACTTGTGTATTATTTTATTTAATACTAGCTGCTGTACCCGTGCTTCGCAACAAGATGTACTATAACGCCTAATCCAAACACTTGTTAAGTTGTTGTTGTTTTATAATAGATTTTCAAACTAAGAGATCCAATAAAATTTAGTTCCTGATACCAAAGGCGGATGTGTAACTTTTTATACAACAAATTTAAAGATCAAATGTTTCTCTTTAATATCCTCTCCATTGCAAAATGCGAAGCACGGGTACCGCAGCGAGTTGAATCTAAAATTGTTAAGTTCACTGAGAGAGAAGTTTCAGAACATTCTGAATATGTTATTATTCTACACAAATAATTATAATGAATTTTGAAGCATGCTTTCTGTTTGAATCAATTATAACAGATCTACATTTTAAATTGATTCAACAAAACATTTTTGTCAAACTGAATTTTAGCCAATGTACTAACCAGAAGAATTAATTATAGGATGAATTCAGACCAAATATTTGAGAAAACCTTGTTTATTAAATAAACTTAACAAAAATTGAAACATGAGAAATAAAAAAAATATTTACATCAAAACAACTTCTAGGATGGTATCTTATACACTATATTCATAAAATCAAACTTAAATTAACAAATTTACATCAAAATTACAAGTAAACTTTGTCGGGATATCACTTAGCTACTAAGTACTTGGTTGATAAAGCCTTTCATTGAATTTATTAGCTCTTTGTTTTTTTTTATTTGTTAATTTGTTCACACTTATAAAATGAGCGATACAAAACATTTCTGGAAATAGAAAACGTAAGGAGAGCTTAACTTCAAATCATTTGTTATTTAAGGTATTTCTGCCATCTCTTTTTCTCTTGAAAAAAGTTGAAAAACTGTTTAAAGCTAGGTTGTATACAAATTAGTATCACTATTTGTTATTTACACCAAGCAATAACAATATACAATTATAACATTTACTGCCACCAGCCTATATGACTTTTTAAAATTTATTCAACATTTTTGTTTTAATTTTTATTCATAATATTTAAACTTTTTCAACTGTACACAATGGTTAACTACATCTCACTGTATAATTTTAGTCCCAAAGCAGATCAATAGTTATAAAAAAAAATTTTTTTTAGGTAAATGTTTTAAATCCTAACACATTTTTCATCAGAAATCAAAATTAGTCATAACATGTGAGTTACATATTTGTTAAAAATCTAAAATTCCTAAAAACTTTAAATGGGGGTGAGTAGCCAATATTTTTTTTTTGCAATACTCCAGCAAAAACAGCCATTTTTTAAATTTTTTATACATGTGTTGCAGGTGTAAAGTATATTTTTACTCCCTAGGGATTTCATCACGCTTTTCTATTTCATCACACCCTAATTATGAAAAATACAATTATTTGTGAAAAAACCAACAACAATAGTGATCAACTAGATGGTATACCTAAGCCAAAGATTATGTTTTTTAACAATTTTGACAAATCAATGAATTTATAAACCAAGTTTTAGCTAACAAATCAAATAGTTAGAAAAAACTTTCCTAACAAATACTTTCAAAAGTTTAGTAAAAAATATTAAAACATAAATTTTTGCATAAAAAAGAATTAATTACAATGGATGACAAATCTACGACCAAACTTTATCTAAGGACTTTTCAGATTTTTAAAGTGTTTGAATAGTATTAAAGATTATTTCTCGAAGAGAGCAATGTTCATCCATGTTCTATACCAAATATAAACGAGACAATCAGTAGAGTGTGTGAGCAGATATTTAGTTAACAAAAATATGTTTCAGTACTATTGAAAAATAGACTACTGATTATTTTCCAACTATCACATGGTTACACTTTGTTGACAAATGCAAACATTCATCTCTATGTTAGTGGGAAATTTTTACCTTACTGGACAATTGTGTGAGCTTAGGTGTTGTACAAATTTAATAAATATTTATTTATTTTTTTAACAACAGTTTTTTTTCAAAGAACTTCATAAGATATTTATTTATGAATTGAAGCAAAAAAGATAAATTTACTCTTAAATCTCATACCACCTGTAATTAGAATCTAATGCAAAATAAACGCTTTAAGCGTAATCAGCAATGACGGAAAAAGAACTAAACAATCTGTGCCAGGATAATTGCAATAAAGTATCCATCCATTTCAATCTAATAGACACTTTTGTAATTTAAAATTTTGAAAAACTCTTGTTTTATCCACCTGATTTAAGATTAGACTGTATTTTCAAATTAATAGTTTTTTGTTTTATGTATACTATGCCAACTATTATTTAATAACTTAGTTTATGATAATTTTAACTTTTTTTTAATGAGGGTGGCAGCCTATTGCAGCCTTGCAAGTGCCCGTTCATATCCTCAGGCCTCAGGCCTGTCCATGGATCCAAAAAAACAAGGATGAGCCGGTAGATTACAAGAGTTGGACTGTACGAATAAAATGTAAAGCAGGTATCAGGATCTGAACCTACAACATTGCTGACATGGATCCAAAGGCCATCGTGCCTCTGACTGAGCCACCAATTCAGCTCTGGCCAAAACTCGTAAAACAGACTGAATTTTTGAACTGCGACTGACTGCTCAAATCGGGTTAAATCCACAGACCCATTTAATGGTGTTTTGTTAATGGTCGACAAGTCTTGTGACCAGACTGAATAGTAGAGCTAAGGGATAAATTGTCTCTCAAAAGTTGGAAACTAAAATTTTAAAACCAAATTTCACACACTCTACTGGTAAAGCAAAATTGTATTTACACAATACTTTTTAAGCACTCGAATATCACAAGACGCTCAGTTTGAATATGACAAAATATATTCTTTCAATATAATTATTTTCAAACTTTAGTCTTTCATAGAAAATATTGTTAGTGTTTGATTCTTTCCTCAAGAATCTTTATAACTGTACACAAAGAAATACATCTCTCATAACAACAAAAAACTTCTCTTTGAAATTTACAAAATTTACAAGGTATATTTAAACTTTTTCAACTGTACACAATGGTTAACTACATCTCACTGTAAAATTTTTTCACAAAGCAGATCAATAATGTTATAAAAATATAAAACATATTTGCTATGTTTGAGTGGTTTGCTACTTATCAATACATCGCCACTACCTATATAAGTTGAATCATGTAGGCTATTGGTTACATTTGTAAGAGAACTCACTCAGAAGTGGCGGGGAGGCTGAAGCTTCGTTGAAATCTCCTCCTCAACTGGGACACCCTTACATGTTCTGGCGAGTCTTCTGAAAATACCAATCACAATAATTAACTTGGTTATCGAAAGAGAATTGTTTTTAACATCATTAGTCAACTTGCTGATAATTTAAATGGAGTTGTGTTCCTGTTGTAGCAAAAAAGTTAATATTGTTTACTAACGTACAGCTTTGTGCCTTCATAGTGTCGAAACAATGTTAAATCCGTCTACTGGGCCATGTAATCAACCGACATCAGTTTTCATTATGATCAGCATTGAGTGAATTTGAAGTTAGCACAAATGTACAATAGTTGAACATTGGCTCTTTTAATATAGCATGCAAGGAAACAAATGTTGTATTGATGATTTAAACAGATTAATCAGACATTAAAACTAATTAATCTTTAAAAGGTGTTGAGCATCCTAAGAAACTTCATCCCCAAAAAGGTTGGACGATTATAAACTGTATGAAATTTCTTTGACCTTCAAATAGTTAGAAATACTTAAAAATACCTTCACTCACCTGGTGTATCCAGTGACAGTCGTTTCACAAAGACCTTCAATCGTTTTACTGGGTGAAGAGAAGAGGAAGAAGTTGAAGGCTGATTGATGTCCACCACCTCAGCATTGCCAGATTTGTTTATTGTTAATGGTAACCTTTCTATTAAAACTGATGGTTTCAAAAGCTTTTTCTCAAGACACTTTAATTTTGCTTCTTTGTCAAGAACTGGATCATTACTTTTTACTGGTGCAACTCCAGTGGTATTTTCAGAAAACCTTTCTAAAGCTGACTCGCTTTCATTGGTTTTATTCTTTGGCTTCATCTTGGGTGATTTTTTGATTTCTATATTTAAAGGAACATAATTTCTAGGCGAACGACATGATTTAGATTTTCTTCGCTTGTTCGGGGTGCTGTACAAGACAGGATTCTCTTGTGGTTTACTGGTACTCTGTTTATCTTCTATATTTTCATCAGAGGACGAGCTATCTACTGTACCATCCAGAGAATAAATTCTCAAATGCCTCTTACGGTTTTCACTTGGTTTGTTTTGTGACTTTGCTCCAGGTAATATAACTGGGTAACTGGGGTTTATTAAACTGGAAGTTTCCCATTTTGTGTTAGAATCTGTTTCTTTGTTTTGAGTGACAGACTCACCACTAGAAATGACTAGCTTTTCAACCTTAACCAGAGGGTAACAAGTCTTATCTTCACTGACAGCTTCTGAAGCCTCTCTGATTCCCTGGGTTACAGATGAGTTGCCAGAGATATTGTCTGATGCTATGCTGGTCGTATCAATGTTCCCACTTATTATTTCAATTAATTTTTCATAAGCAAGTGGTAACAATTTTATCACACATTTCTTATCAAACTCAATACTAGTGCTTTGGTCTTCTTGAGAATCTACAAATTTTTTCTCACAAGGTGCCTCGGTAGGGGTTTCAAGTGTATTTTTGCCACTTTTATCCTTCTTTTTCCCACTTTTGCTACTCTTGACTTGAGAATGAAGTTCTACAAGTTTGCTCTTTTTCACAAGCACTCTATCACATTGAGTTATCTTTTCATCAAATAATTCAGTTTTTGTCTTTAATATGTCAATATCTTCTACTCTTTTAGTTACATGGGTAGGCACCTTTTTTGAGGAGTCAGTTTTTTTCTGATTAGTATTTTTAGGTTTGGCTTTTACATCTTGGGATGATAGATCTCCACTTACTAAAGTTTTCACAGATGTGTTTGAACTTTTGGCAGTTTTAGGAGATTTCTTTTCTTTAGATCTCATAGGGCTTTCTTGCTTATTCAAATTTATGGCCGATAAAGAAAGTTTGGTTTTATTTGGCTTTTTAGCATTTTGTGATAACTTACTTTTCTGGACTTGTTTCTTCAAGTTATTGTTGGATGCATCTGTTTGGATTTTGGTCAAATTTCTTGTTGGATTTTTTGAAAGGAAATGAATATCATTAAGTGACAAGTTTTTCAGGACAACTTTACAACTCATTAATTTCAATATTTCTTCATTTGAGCATTTGAGTTTCTTCTTCAGGTTTTCCTTTATTTTTCGGTTTATTTGATGTTTCTTTTTTAATTCTTTGCTATAAGATAATTTAGACTTTATGGTGGTACCTTTAGAAGCTTTAGCTTTAGAGTTTGTTTGTACTTTTGATTCCTCGTTTTGTTTGCTATAAGATAATTTAGACTTTATGGCCTTTAGACCTTTAGAAGCTTTAGCTTTAGAGTTTGTTTGTACTTTTGATTCCTCGTTTTGTTTGCTATAAGATAGTTTAGACTTTTTGGTAGTGTTTTTAGAAGCTTTAGCTTTAGATTTAGTTTGTATTTTTTGTCCCTTGTTTTCTATGTTAGGATTTTCCCTCAAAGGACACCACAGTATGGGATGTGAGCCTTCAAAATCTGTTTTTGACGTTAGGTAGTTTTTGACAGAATCCAACTGGGAGAAATATTTCTCAATCTCTTTCCGACTCATATGAAAAGAAGGAAAGTTACAACCTGGAAAACTATTTTTCTTCTTTGTCCATCTGATGTATGTTTTTTTCTTTGGTCTTGTGTGTTGAGAAGTATTTATTTCCTTTTTTGGGGGGGAAATAGAACTAGTTATTCCCTTCTGGTGTTTCACTGGAGTATTTTCATTGTTCAATTCTGGTTGTATTGTTTCAATTGGTGTCAAAGTTTTATTTTCAAGAACATTATCAAAAGGGTTCAGTTCTATAATTTCAAATTCATCTAATGTTTTCTGATTTTGTAAATTTGCTTCTCCGACATCTTCAATACTGTCAGTAACTTCCCCAACTGATCCATTTTCGGAATCTTCAATGCCAACGGTATCCAAATACTCAACAAGTGAATCTATATTTCCTGGGAGCATTTCTTGATCTGTATTGAAACGACAAGGAGAATCTTCAGGTCTGAAATAAAATACTATATCAGGTCTTGCGGTTCAAATTTAGCACAAAAAGAATGTCATAAAAATATATATTGACATTTAATTTCTTTTTAACTAACCAACTTTAACCATCCAACTGGCAGCGCGATAAAATAGTCGTGGTAGGTGGTTTCTGTAGTGGCAACGACTATAAAAGTCATGTTTTGTAGGGTTTTGGTTAACTCAAAATAAATGGTTAAAACGATTGTAAAATAGGATAATTGTTATACTGTTTGAAAGATAAGAATCTAAACTTGCATTTTGCTACATAGATGAACTTAATCTCACAAAGGGATCACTGTAATTGAGCACTAAAGTAAACAAAAATTTTGTGCAAAGTCAGTTGCACCATGAACGCCTCACAAAACTGCTGAACACGGTATGCTTGAAAAAATCATAAAAAGGGATATTTTATTATCTACAAAGACGGGTGGTACCCTTGCAATAAGGAAGAAATGTCCAATAATATGGTGCAAAAATCTTTTTGATATAATTACATATGATGTCACAAAAACAAAAACAAATCAATCAAGTTTGTGAAGTGGCAGAGAGACTATAATAGTCGCAATCATAAAACACATTTTATTCACTGAAATATAAAATTTATGTAACAAAGTACCTCATTCGAAAGTCCATGAAATTATGTGCGTTGTGTTATTTCATTGTTTTAGATTAGCTGGTATTTTTCGTGAATATTTTGTCTGACTAACTAACCTCATTCTCTGTTGACCAATAACTAACAAGTTGAGTTTTGGTGTGTTTATATTGGATATTATTAATGTGACATTACTTTAGACACTATTTTTAGCACGTTTTAGTAAACTTTAATGACTGTTTGCCAACATCGAATATCGCGAGTGTGACTGTGACTTTATCACTTTCAATCATATTTTTTATGCCTAATTGTAAATGTCTACTTATTTAGTTTGTAAACTGTTTCTTTTGCGTAGACTTAAAATACTAAATTTGAGGTTTGGGACATTACGTTTAGCCCGTTTTTGAAACATTTTGTTATAGTAAACAAACAATTTGATCGCCACATGAAAAAGCACAGCAGCATTTTATATACAACACTAGAAAATATTAACTAATATTTCTCTTTATAACTACCTAGACTATATATATTTTCAAGCAGGGGAATAAATTTAATTGCATTCTATACAGTTGGTATTTGGGTTTTATGTGTTTAAAAATAATATACATGTTTGAATAAAAGATTTTTTTTTAATATAAGATTTATAAAAGTCATAAATATGTCATAGGTATGATTATTTTCTATGAACAACTCATACTTCATTTTATCTCCAATGTTATTGCCTTTACAAAAATGTTATTCTTGTGAACACATTTATTTGTTTTTTGTTTTTAATTTGTAGCGCAAAATAGTTGAAATTATTTATTTTTTTTTTGGGCCATAACTTTCTAAAGAAATGGTAATTTAAATCTGTTTACATTTCCATGAAGGGTAATTGATTTCAAACATTTTGTACGTCTAGCATTTTACATAAAAAGCTTTTGGTAAATGCAGCATAGTAGTACTTTCAAAATTCAAAAACAATGTTTTTTCTACCCAATTTTAATACATACTGTTTTAAATATTTATTTTGTTGCAAATTCTTCATTTCATTGTGAACAATTCAAGTAGGCATATGTGGTTCAATAGGTTTGCTCCATTGGTTTAGTTTATATGAATTTTCGACAATATGACTGCAAAATCACCAAAAATGCCTTGCCACTACAGAGATCGCCTATTGCCAGTTGGATGGTTAATATTATTTAACAGCTACAATTCATTTGAAAATATTTGCTAGTCCTCTAAATACATAACATTACCAGAGTAAGCACTAAAATTAACTGTGAAACGGGGAAAATCTGAACAAATGGCTGGGTTAATGTGGAAGACTAGGTAATATTGAGGTTCAGATTTCTGATATCTATTGTTACAACTTCATGATGGCGCAGAAAAAATAAAAAGTCACAAATTGTGTAAAAGCAATGCCATTAAACAATGAAATATCAGTAACTTAGTTGTCTTGATTTCATTCAAAATCACTTAATTTTACCACGGTAGTTGATAGGAGTTTTTTTTTTTTTTGTCTTGACGGGTTTCTTATTATAATTTTCTTTATTAGGCTATACACTGTTTTCTAAATTCACCACATAATTTTTTTTTTCTAAAAAAAATTAAAAAATGAAATTTCCTGAAAATTCTTTAGTTTAGGGAGTGAATTGACACTGTCCCAAGCTTAAAACCCAGTGCCCTTAATCTCTCCTAGACATCAGTAATGCTATATATACTGTACATAAAAAATTCCACCTATTTTAACAATAGTGGCCCCACAAAATGTTTCCTTTTATATTTTTTAAACAAACAACTAGATGATGGATGGCATGTAGGTATCTAAATTTGAGCCATAGATAAGTAAACAACAAATTTACAAATTGTTTGTCTTGCTGAAACTAATGTGACCTATTGATTATGATAGTGGTAGTTATTAAGCCTATAAAATTCCCAATGTCTGAGTCTACATTGAAAATGTACAAGGATTTAATTTTCCTACAAAAAATTTAAATTAATAGATTAAAATTGCCATAACCTCACCTCTCTAGTTCATATTCTAGAGTTGGACTCTTCTCACAAATACTTTGAAGTCCTTTGTTCAAGTCTTCATTTAGAATCTCATCCAGCTGTGAAGTATTCAGCAACTCATCCCCATTAGTGGCCAACATGTCCGTCGGATCAAGTGAGTTGTTCAATGAAGGCACCGAGTCGAAATTACTGTTTTTGTCAACAAGTTTCTTCTCATCTAAATTCTCACTTTTCTTTTCACAGTCGTCCTCCACACTAAGAGGTTGAAACATAACATCCTCCGAAGCTAAATCGCCTGACACAAAGGAAGGATCTCCTCTCAATACAGTTTCAAAACTGCTGATTATATCTACGTTCATTGTGCCGATATCCACTGACACGCAGCTGTCCTCAATATTGTTCACCGGACTGTTATACGGCTCTTCGTCGCTGAATATTTCCTCTAGAGTTTCTTGTTTTTCAGATTCTGGCCAGAAATCATCTTTTAGAGGGCCAGAGCTCATTAAGATTTCCTCTCCGTCTGACATGGGATACATTTCTGTGGCAGCATTTTCAACCAGAACTCTTCTTCTTCTTCTATTTTGCTTGGTTTTTTTCTTACTGCCAAAATCGCCAACACCATCCAACTGTGGGATTTTCTCATCGAAACTCACATCGGATCCAATAATACTGAAACAAGTAAAGATAAGGTTTTTTTTACCACTATGTTTCGAGCAGATCAGTGTAGAGGTTTACATTTCATCGCTTTTTACTTGATGACAGTAACTTACGGGTATTCAATATTCACAAATTCACTACTAAAGTCATTCATTTCAACACAATATGAATTCATTAAATTTTTGGAGGCTATGTAATAGAATGGTAATGGGTAATAAATATCAAATCCTTATATAGTACATTACACTATAAAAACTGGTGGAATTCAAGCAAAACAATAAAAAATACCTAAGCTCTTATTCCTGAACAGAACAAGACACTTTGTTTATGCATTTAAGAAATTTAACAACTAACTAGATACAAAACATGAGTATATAAACAGTCATAATTAGGAAAACTAAAAATAGGCTACATAAATTAAGCAAAAGTGAAAACCATTTAGCAAGTATCAGTACAGTAAAACTCTAAATCATTTGGAAACCGTACCACATTCGGGTAACTTAGTAAAAAAATTGGATTTGTACCAGAATTAAGGATATTTTATAGCAAATAGGCCGAGTTTTTACTACCGCAATCGCAATAATTTTGCGATAAGGAAAAATTATGCTTTCACCGTTCATGTGGAGGATGATGGTGGTATTCCATAACCGCATAAGAAAGCAACTACAGTAGAACCTCGATTACCCGGAGGCAGATCAACCGGGCAGCGGATTGACCGTGGTCAATGGATGCCTCTAAAATGAGGTTACCTTACCATCCAATAAAAATACCAAGAAAATTTTAAAAATTGTTTCTTTAGTCTAATGTGTTGAAATGCATTGTATATTTAACTATTCCTGTCCATTATTTATATAGGTACAGTAGGCTCCCACATTCTTGTTTTTGAAACATCACAGTTCATTTGACAAAAATAAATTTGAAACATAACAAAGAAATATCGGTCGATAGCTTCAAGGTCAAGCCATGGTAAAATTGTATACTTCTTTAATGTAATGATTTCTGCTCTGAAAAAGCAAGTAGCCTATGCCTAGCAGTAGCTTACTAGACTTTCTATGTTAGTTCCTTTAGTACCCATAGCCCGATGATGCTGGTTTGGGAACTCATTCAAGTTTATCCTGCCCTACACCTTCAAGCCAAATTTCATCAAGTTTGGACAAAAATTACTCAATTTATCGCGTTCACGGACTTATGTAAATTTTAAAAAAATAGTGTTTTTTAGCCTCTAGGGACATTAAATTGTAAAAGTATATCGGTCCCAGGCTTAGGTCTTACCGTGCCACTTACGGTAATAACTACTTCCTTATAGGGAAATTCGCTAAAAGGACAAAAATATTTATGTGTGTATGAAAACTACTCACTCATCATCAGAATTTTCCTCTAGAGCCAAATCCGGAGGTAGACTGTATTTCAGTGCTTCTAACTCTACGTCACTGATGTCATGTCCAAACATGTCTTGCTCAGGTAATATCTGAGATCCAAGGATGCTGTCGTCTTCCACATTTTGAGACACGGCAGCATTTATCTCATTCTGGGCTGCTAGATTGTCCAATGCCATCATAAGAGATTGATCCATCGAGCTGGCTGTAATTTTGAAATCAATAGTTAAGTCTAAATCTAAATTACATTTGTATTAACACTAAACCATTTTAGTACAAGCATTGACTTCAGATACTACTGAGGTAGACAATCCATTCCTATGTAAAGCTTGCACCCAAAAATAACTTAGATCAAAGAAGCTTCTTAAACAGTTGTTGTAAAGTATTGTTTTCTTTCCAGGACAGCTTTGCTATTGTGAAAATTAAATCTGCAACTCGTTATGAACTGTATTGTAGGTTATATTCACATCAACAATCATAGTATGAAAGGAATAGAACCTAATATGCACATTCTAAGAGACGTTAATCCGACAATATTCTTTTGAGCACACGCTTCAGCTGGTACAAACAGATGATCCCTACTTCAGTGTGCAAGGTTTTCAATGAAAAAAGTGAGCATGGGTATAGATAATGAATTTTGACTGAAAATAGTCTAAAAAAGATCTAATGGATCATTTTCAGCGAAATTAAAAGAGAAACTGGTAGAACTCAAGTTGAGTGCATTTGATTTGAGTATTTTGTGATGAAAACATTCTGATTTGGTCACACTTTTTGTGTAAAAATGATCACAAAAAAGTTGTGATAGAAGGGAAAACATTCCCTTCTTTTCATTTTGCTTCTAATTACATTTTTACTGGTTGGATTCACAAGATAATTAGCTAAAAAAATATTTTTTTTACAGTCATTAATAAAACCTAAATTAACTTATTATTTTTAAACTCTTCTAGATACCAAGTTTCTTTGTTTTACTTTCCAATAATAAAACCAGCTGTTAAGGTTATTTAATTCATTTTGAATATGAATACACAAACCTTCACAGTTTGATAAATTCCCAATTCTAGTTTCCAAGTTGATAGTTACCAGATTTCTTTGATTTACTTTTCAATAAATTTTACATAAACCAAAAACATGTACAAAGGTCATATTCCGAGGTTGAGAATCGAGATAGGGAGCATTTTTAAGAAAGGAGGACAAATGTAAGAAAAGGGCTAGAAAATGTAAAAGCTAAAAAACTCTAAAAAATACTGAATTCAATTTCCTTTTTTCAAACAAAACCTAGAACGCCTACTCCTAATCCCTGACTACAGCCATGATTGTTGTTAAAACAAATTTGATTTCAAATCAATTCATAAAAATTCCTTCCTTATTGCAATAAAAGATATAATTTTAATATCCTTACATAATAAAGAGCTTTGTGTGAGATTAAATACAAGTTCTTCATCGATGATGGTTGTCTCTTCGGCTGGGTCTGGCATGGACAAAGCCAGAGATGAGAGTGAATGTGTGTTGAGAACCGAGGCGTCCAAGATGTCACTACCACTTGACCTCTGGGTCTCCACAGGATACGGTATCTTTTCCTTTAATGGAGTTTTACACTTGCCCTATAATGATAACAAATTAATAAGAATTAAATAAGGCTCAGTTAGGGACAGATTGCAGTCAAATGGCGTTCTAAGGCTTCTGCACCTACCTTAAGAATTCAAAAATACAATAATAATGCTGAATATGTAGTAACTATTTGTAGGCAGCTATGATTCAGTGTTATTTAACAATTTTTGATCAGTGCTTAAAATTATCTTCAACCCAATTCTTTTACTTTTACAGCTAAGTGAATTAGAGATCTCAAAAAAGTCAAAATATGTGCAATAAATTGCAGATGGAATTTACTACACAGTAAACAATAGGTACTTACACAACAACAGATAGTTGTATCCTACGATGTTAATATGAAGTATCCTTCATTACAAAAAGCAAAGGATTGAAATTTCACTTATTGGTAAGGTTTGTACAACAACATTTTTGTTTTCTGTGCTCTATACAGGAACATATTGTATGCTCAGTGTGGATTTCATTTGAGTAACATATAAATTACATAAATTATATAAATTACTTCAGATTGAGAAACATTGGTCAAAGCAGGAACGTTTCTTAGTTGTAAATTATGTCAGTGGAATTGAAATAATCCAATTATTTTGTATGTTGTACAGTTTTTTAAGTGAAGGGTGGGCACTTTTACATTCAGGGAAACCTGTTCCCCAAACAAAAATCTCTAAGAACTATGCAAACTATTGCAGAATCCATAACTAACTAATGCATTCAATCTAATTTTGTTTAGGCTACTTTTCACAAGTTTGTTGGATGACAGCCGGCTATTGTACCTGGTATTTGAGGTTTTCCCTGAGTTTCTCTCTTAGAAGAACCTCGCTCATGGCCAATGGAGGTTCGGGTCGCTGGGAGACGTCCAACGCATCCCTCTTCAGTCTCTGCTTCTCCTCCTTCCAGATGGCTGCTAGACCCGGGTTTACGGCAAGCTCGCCTGTAAATGCACAATGTCACAGTTTAGACAGCACACTCGGTTTTACAAGTTGAGAAAGCATACAAGGATGGGAGTAGAGTTGAGTAAAATATATTCAGTAATTTAGATACTGTACTGACCAAGATCATTTTACTTAAACTTCAGTCAGGATCTATATTTCTTTTACTGAAAGTCAATGACAGCCCATGAATACCTTTTGGACGTATTTCATAGAAAAGCCAAGGGACTGATTGGGATTTTTATATGGAATCAACTTCAGCTAGCTTACTTGAGAAAATCAAAGTTCAGGGGTTAATATATTCAAAATGATCACAAAATAGGTAACTAATATTTTGTGTTAGTAATGCTCTTTGCCAGAGGGTAAATTTGAAAGGAATAAAAAATATCAGTGCTATGTTTTGTGACCTAGCAGACTCTGATTTTCTCAAGTAAGCTAGCTCAACTTTACACCATTTTAATCAATTCCTAAACAGCCAATAAGCTTAACATACTAACAAGCTGAACTCTACCCCAAAACTCCTAACCACTCTAAGACAATCTCTGACAATCGTTGTTATGGAATGTTGACTTAAGTGAAAGTAAATTACTAACACCTAAGGTTTTTACTGTTACAATAATTATCTTTTATTTTACTGAAGTACACACACAACATTTTTACTCAAACATAACTTATTCAACAATTCTCTTTACAATAAAAACAATCCTAACTATTTACACATGATCAGCTGTTACCAACATAAATTAAATTAAATACAGAACAAGTAACAGCAAACATATTATATAAAAATAAAATTACATTCAACACCTTCCCTTAATTTTAATTTTATATAAGAAACAAAAAATAAATATCTCGATTATCGTCTTCTGTTCAATATTTTGGATAGTTGATCAAAGCTTTGCTAAATAATTGATGAAACTTAACATTGTTCAAGGGTTTTGTAAACATATCCGCAACATTCTCGGATGTAGAAACAAAAGAAATGTTTATTTTACCTTGCCTTACAATTTCAGTCAAAAAATGGTAGCGAACATCAATGTGTTTGCTTCGCTTATTGAAAATTCCATTTTTACAAAGCTTAATAGCACTTTGATTGTCCATGTTTAGGTTTGTTTCAACATTAGTTCCACTCAACTCTTGCAAGAAAGTTTTTAAATATAACACTTCTTTGACACATTCCGCCGCTGCAATGTATTCTGCTTCATTGCTGGACAAAGCTACAATCGGTTGGTTGTCTTCTTGTACACCAGCTTATTGGGTCTTCTCCATACATTATGACAAATCCAGTAGTACTTCTTCTTGTATGCTTACAATTTGCATAGTCTCCGTCACAATATACATTTAGGCAATTTTCTCCTGATGCTGAAAATAATATTCCTGCGTCTTGAGTACCTTTAATATATCTTAAGGTTCGTTTGACATTTACAACATCTTCATTGCTTGGATTCTCAACACATCTACTTTCTAATCCCACAGCAAGTGTAAGATCAGGTCTGGTTTTATTGGATAAGTACAGCAAACTTCCTACAACTTCTCTGTAAGGATAATCTTTTGTCAGGCAGCTTACTTCTTCATCAGGTTTGCTCGTTTTCACTGGACAAATGGGAGTGTCTACAGGTTTACAATCTATCATTCCATATTTTTCGAGAATACTGTTTGAATAGTTCTTTTGTGTTAACAATATCCCTTCCCTTGAATATAAAATTTCCATTCCAAGAGAGTTTGATGGGTTTTCGTCTGTTTTTATTTTAAAATCTCTAGACAGCTCGTTCAAAAGTTTCTTCATCTCTCTTTCATCTGAACCAGCAAGAATTCCATCATCAACAAATATAGCAAGATGAATACTGCCATTTGTAAAAACACAACGGTCAGACTGAGTTTGTTTTAAGCCATATTTTAGTAAGCAGTTTGTAAACAACTGGTTCCATTTAAATGGAGCTTGTTTAAGTCCATATAAAGTCTTTCTTAATTTCAAAACTTTATCTTTATGATCAAACCCTTCAGGTACACACATATAAATTTCTTCATCTAAATTTCCATAGAGAAAAGCAGTTTTAACATCAAATTGCATTAGTTTGAGATTTTGTTTGACAGCTAATGAAAATAACAAACGTAAAGTTGAATTACTTACAACTGGGCTGTAGGTTTCTTCATAGTCTATACCTTTTTCTTGGGCAAAACCTCTTACAACTAGTCTCGCTTTGTATTTTCCGTTATCCTTTCTTGTTATGTTAATACCCACTTGTTACTTAGGATCTTCTTGTTTAGTGCTCGCTTTTTGTCAACCAACTCCCACGTTTCATTCTCAATAAGGGAGTTTTTCTCATCCTCAATTGCTTGTAGCCAATTCTTTTTATCTGGTCCTTTGATTGCTTCTTCATATGTCAACATCACAAAATCTTTATATCTTTCAGGAAGTTTAGTTTTTCTTCTTAGTTTGATGCTTTGTGTAGTATCAGTATTACTTGAACTTGGCTGTTCTTCATTGATTTCATTTTTGTCTGAAACCAACTCAAACTCTACTTCATTATTACTTATCTCACTTAGATTATCTGCACTCTCAATATCTTCATTTTCATTTTCGTCTTCTTTCTGGTCATTTTCATTTTTTAGACTGTCATCGTCTTCAATAATTGTTGTTTTCTCCTGTTCTTTGCCAACATGCTTGCTTTTGTACTCAACGAATTTCACATCTCTTGAGACTTTTTATTTTCCTAGAGCGTTCATCCCATATCCTATATGCATTCAGACCATATCCCACAAAAATAAATGATTCATTTCTGATATCCAACTTTCCTAAGTTAGGCCTGGTTATACGAGCATAAACTTTGCTGCCGAAAATTCTTAACCTTGATAGATCTGGTTTTTGGCCATACCATTTTTCACATGGTGTAGTGTCAACTGACTCACAAGGACTTCTGTTTACAATGTATGCGGCTGTTCTTATAGCTTCTCCCCATAGCTCTTTACTTAGTTCTGAATCAAACAGCAGTGCTCTTGTTTTTTCTAAAAGAGTTCGGTTCATCCTCTCAGCTTTGCCATTTAGCTGTGGCGAATAAGGAACAGTGTAGTCTACTACTATACCCTTTGTTTTACACAAATCTTGGAGATCCTTTGAAATATATTCTCCACCATTGTCACATCGGATCTTGTGAATTTTTAAGTTCTAGCCTCTACTTCTGCAAAATATTGTTTTACTGCATCAAACACTTCATACTTGCCTTTTAAAAGATAAACCATAGTAAAGTTTGTGTAATCATCAATAAATGTAATGAAATATCTTTTACCATCATGAGTACTTGGTTCTACTGGTCCACATACATCAGTGTGAATTATTTCTAGTGGTCTTGTTGCTCTTGTTCTTTCAGTATTAAAAGGTAACCTTGTCTGTTTAGCCTTCAAACAGACTTCACAAGTCGTTCTTCTATCACAGGTCTTCAAACATTGGCCAGACAATTTTATACCTTCTGACATAGAAATGAGTTTATTTAAACTATCAAAACTAATATGTCCCATTCTTCTATGCCACAAAATTACACTATCATCCACTACCGGTTTACTTGTTTCCCTTTCTATTAACTGAGCATTTAAATTACTATTAATATCAAAGATCTTCATTGTGAACAATCCATTTGAATTTTTTATGCCTTCCAACACTTGATCTCCAGTTTTTCTAAGTCCTATCATAACTTTATTTTCAGAGAAAGTAACCTCACCACCATTATTAGTTATTGCAGAAACAGACAACAAGTTTTTACCGAGTTCAGGAACATATAGCACATTATTCAGGATACATTCTTTGGATTTTACAGTTCCACTCGTTGAAGCTAACATGGTTTGATTTTTCTTAGCAACATATATTTCAGAAGAAATATTTTGTTTATTACTTAACAAATCTTCACAATTTGTCATATGTGAAGATGTGCCTGAATCAACAACCCATTCAGATACAAAGTTTACAGTCCCACTATTACCCCGAACATTTTGTCCATCATCATACTGTAGCGGACCGCTACAATAGCGCAAGTCACGTGACCACGATGCGCGCGCAGTCGACCCGGGTAGGCACGCGCAGCGAACCAAGAGACGAGTACAGTGTAGTGTCGAGCGCCTGGAGCTGTACATCTAACTGGATAAGTAACTGTAGCCTAAGATGTCTAGCTAATAGAAGTAGGGGTTGGGGAAGGGTGTAGGTTAGGGCAGGAGTAATTAAATTATGTAACTTATTGGATTCTAGAATGGTCGTGGTCTGGCAATTAATATCGTAAATTAGAATTCACTTTTGCTAAGTCTAGTAACCTTTTTCACGAATTAGAATAAGTCCATATATATATATTTCTCTGTTCATTATATTATAATTAGATACATTAAGAACATAAAAGCTGGCTGTGATAGGCAGCTAAGGTAATATTGTGCACTTTGACGAGTTAGATTAATTCCTTGCAATAGAGTTGGGTTAGGACAGGAAATGTGCGTGATTTGGCAGTGGTTAGAGGAAGATATATAGGGCCCAGGTATCTTCATTTACACTCATACTACTCCACATCATCACATATTGGTAGCAGAGCGTCAAGATCCGGCCAAAAATGCAATTTTAACAGAAATAGAATAGATTAAAACGTGTCTCAGACCAGCCAAGTGCTTTGTTCAGACAGGAAATCGACAGGCTGCAGGTCGGCACCACGTGGCGACCTGGAATGCACGAGCATGCATAGCTAGGCACGTCATGAAATGTGAATCAATATCATTCAGTTTATTTTATTTCCAAGGAAAATTTAAAAATCAATTTTAATGAGAATGTTTTAATTTCAAAGTAGAACTAGGAAAACTTTGATGTTTTTTATTAATATTTTACCAAACCAAGTTGATGAATATATTTAAATGCATTTATGTAATCACTCACGAGTTCGACATCAAGTCTGAAAGGCAGTAATTAAACTAAATATACCTCGACGACAAGCCGAATGAGTGTTTGATGAATATTTTTATTACCGAAAGCAAA